ATACCTATACCTATCTCGATGGTCCTGAATAAAGGCTGCCTTTAACAAATGTCATTGAATATACATATATTTTTTATTTAACATTCCACATCCTTACCAACACATGGTGGGTCAATCTTTAATTTTAGCCATTCCAACAAGAGTGTAATGGTAAGTCACTGTGACTTTGATCTGCATTTCCTTAATAACTAATGATTTTGAGCTCCTTTCTATGTGCTTACTGACCACTTATCCTCTTTTGTAAAGTGTTCAAGTTATTCATACATTTTGACACAAATGCTGCAATGATTAGAAATGTGTCCTATGTTAAAAAATATTTGAGTGTCTGCCATGAACTTTTCTAGGTTCACTAATCAGCTGTGTGACCAAGATCTTTGCTGTTATTTAAAGAGTTCATATTCTAGTGAGGAGAGACAGAAAGTAAACCGGCAGCAAACAAATAAGATGATTTTTGATGGTATGGAGATACCCTGAAGTGTTATCAATTAACAATACAATATCGGAAACAACCTATATCCCCAAAGGGGTAGGGATAGGGAATTTAGGTAATTTATGGAATAGAAACTTGACGGACTATTGTAATGCCATTAAATTGATAAGTATGACTTAAAAAGAATACTTAGCTGTATAATCAAAAGGTCAAATTTAAAATTGTATGTATACTTTGTTAAAGACTATGTAAAATATTCATGCTATGATACGTATAGACAATGACTGGAAGAACCCAGAAGAAAAAGAAAAGGCTGTTGTGTCTTTTGGGGTGGTGGAATTATAGGAGGGTTAAAGGCTGTTGATTTCGGTTTGTTGTTTGTTGTTGTTGTCTTACCTGTCATCGCGTTCTTAACAGTAGAAACTGGAATCTTGGAGTACTCATGGCAATTTCCTCTGCGTAAGGCTTGAGTTCAGAGACTTATACATTTAACATGAGACGTGACAGATTAAAAAATAAAACTGAGTTACTTCACTGAAGTAAGGCAACGCGAGGGCTAAGAGTTTCACTTCGTAGGTTTCAGAAATTGCAAGGCACAGAGAAGTTACGCCTGAGGAAATCCGCGGAGGCGTCGGGTTCACGCCTGACGGGAGGCGCGAGCCTGAGGACAGGTCAGCGCGGCGCGAAGTAGTGACGTCGCGCGCCCAGCAGGAACTTACGTCACTTTTCCGCGCCGCCGCTTTTGGTCCGCGTGAGTCTCGTTCTCGCGCCTGCGGCGGTCCTGGGGCCACTGTTGGCCTTCTGTGCTGTCCTTTTCGTTCGCGAGTCGGCCTCCCTCACGTGGGACCATGGCGACCGACTCGTGGGCCCTAGCAGTGGACGAGCAGGAAGCGGCTGTCAAGTCGGTCAGTGACTTCAGCTCCAGGCGGGGAGAAGGACGTAGGAGGGTCCAAGTGGAACCCGCTTCTAATCCAGGGAACCCCACTGTTTGGGCAGGCCGATGGCCCACCGGGGAGTCCCCGCCCCCCGATTTGCTCCTAGAGACCAAATTCGAGCCTTTTTTCTTCATCTGAGCCTGTTAAAGACTTTTATCTTGTAGCAGATCTGTCCCCGCTTTGTATGCTTTCTTGTATTGCCTCTCTTCAGTGGGGATTGTAAAGAAAGGCAACTTTAGGTGCTGATTCGCTTTCTCATCTTTTCTGAGCGATTCTATGCTACTCGTTTTAACATTTTTTAGATCCATGCTAAACTTGGTTGGCAGTTTGTAGCTCTTTGCAGAATAACATGTCCAGGTTTATATATATTTTAGTCTGCAAATGTTGGCGGGAGTCACACAAATTGTTTCATTGATGTTTAAATGATGTTCATTGAGTTTCATATACTGGTTCTTTGATTAATAAAGAGCCATTCAACTGGAAGGTAATTGTAATATAAACTGTGACTTTCTGTTAGCCCAAAGTTTAAGTTTGTTTAATAATGGACTTGATTTTAAGAATATAGTTGGGTTTTTTGTTGTTTTGTTCTTGTAGTGCGAAGTCTTAAATAACTTTTTAATGCCGAATATTAATTCTCCAGTCACCCTTTATTGCTTTGGGAGGATTGTCGGTTTGTCGGCAGATATTTGAAATGGGCTAAATTCCTTGGGGAACAGGAAGAAGCTTCACGGTGTAGTTAGGAAGGCTAGAATGCGGGAAGTGCTATGAAAATGTTGAGAATAATATGTTAACTCTGTCTGGGAGAGGACATTTACATGTAGGAAAATCAAGGAAATTCCTTTTCAAGTAGTTTACATTAGAGCTGGATATTAGAGAATGAGTCATTTAAGGTAAAGATGAAAGTGAAAGGCATTTTAGGAAAACAATGCACAAAAGTGCTGGACTTGCCTAGAAAACAAGAATCAGGACTCATTTTTGCTGCAGCTTGAGGTTATTGGGTTGTAGTAGGAGCAGTATAGAAAATATTGTACGGAGTGTACTTTGTACCTTAACTAAGAACTTAAAGGGAAGAGGCTTTATTTGGTTGGTTTGGGGATTTTTAAGGATGCTGACAAGATCAGATTGAGAGCTGACAAGACTCAATGTTGGTCTGCAGAGAGCAGAATATATTAGGAGTGATACCTAAAGGAAAGGAGGTCAGTGCGAAAGTTACTGTAATAGCCCAGAGATATATGGCGTATATTGATTGGGTGGTGAAAATGAAGATGAGGGGATGGAGTCAAGAGATAATTGTGGAGGTTTAACGGGAAGGATTTAGAAAAAGAGAGAAGAGGATAAAAAGGCAAAGATTACTGTTTGCAACCTTGATCCCACAGGTGGGATTGAGAAAGTGCTAATAACAGGACTAGGGGAGTGGGGAGAAGGAAAGATTTCATATGGAGGATGGTGAGTTCCCTTTTGACTATTCTGAATTTGAGGTAAGCAGGACATTTTGTTAACTACCTGAGTCCCCAAGAGTTGTCCAAGTTTGATGATTTCCTAGGAGGACACACAGAACTCAATGTATAATTACACTCACAGCTATGATTTATTACAGTGAAAAGATAAAAAGCAGAATTAGCAGAAGGCAAAGGCATATGGGGCAAAGTCCAGAGGAAACCAGTCACAAGCTTCTAAGAGTCCTCTTCCAGAGATGTCACATGCTCCACTTAATCCACGCTTAATTCTTCTATCAACAGATTTTAACAAATGTCAAGGGTTGTCAGGGAAGCTCATTAGAGATTCAGTACTCAAAGTATTTATTGGGGGGGAGGGTCTGTTAACATAGTCATTCTCTGCCTAGCCTAAATCAAAATTCCAGACTCTCAAAATGAAAGTTAGTCTTAGCATAAACCACGTGATTTAATAAAACATAGACAGTGAACATCTCAGTTCTGGGAATGTGGGAACCCTCTCAAAATTCGCATTCCCAGACACCAGCCAAGAGCCAACCTTGCAAGCTGGCTTTCCCAAGGATAGTAGTCAGGCCTGCCACATTAACTCTTTTCTGCACGGTACCCATCAGGCATTTGTAAATGTGGTGCCGGAGTTGGGGAGAAGAATCATGTTAAAGGTATAAAACTGACAGCTATCCACAAAGAAATCAAAAAGTATATAGTTCTGGTGCTCTAGTGTTTAGCATCAGTTCTTCCCTAAAAGACAGTTACCGAGCATTGGTTTCAAGTCTTTTTAAACCTATGACCTTAATCTAGCTATGGTATTATGACTATCACAAACACGGGCCTAAACATTCTTGGTATCTAGTTCTAACCAATTTACTTTTCAGAAGCTGGTGTAATTAAATGTTTTAAAACATAGCTAGCTTCCTAATACTTGGGAAAAAACCCTCGCCCCTTTTTATTTTACCACACAGACTTGTGTACATTAGCTTAATAAATAATTCATGATATTAGATTATCCTGTAGCTCTGCTCTCAAGTGTTTTTTATTTCCATTCAGATCAGCAATTTGCAGATTAAGGAAGAGAAAGTCAAACCAGAAACCAATGGTGAGTTACTAGTAACTGTAAACTGGATACAAGCTACACGTTTGCTTTTGTTTTGCACTCATAGCTGCAGTGTGAAAAGGAGTTTTTATTTAGTATGTTTGACAAATGTCAGCACTGGATTCGACAGCCAGTAAAGTCGGTTTCACACTGAAGGAAATATATTATTTTTCCAGATTTTAGCTAGCTTCTAACCCCTTAAAATCAAGAGTCACTAGTGGATTATACTGTCACCATTCACTTGATAATGTTTCTTTAAATGATTTTAAATTTAATTTTTAAAGGTTAATCTGAATTCAAAAGCCAGAAAGTGTAAGCAGGTGAAAGGCCTCCTTTCCATTCTGGACCACCATCCACTCAGTTCCCATGCCCCACTTATATTAGTTTGCTAGGGCTGCCATAACAAACTATCATGAACTGGGTGGTTTAAACAACAGAAATTTATTGTTTCACAGTTCTGAAGTCCAGACGTTCAAGATGGAGGTGTAGGCAGGGTTGGTTTCTTCTGAGGCCTGCAAGGAAGGATCTGTTCCAGGCCTTTCCCAAAATATTGGTGGTTTGCTGGCAATCTTTGGTGTTCCTTGGCTTGTAGAAGCATCACCCTGATCTCTGTCTTCATCTTCACATGGTCTTCTCCTTGTGTGCATGTCTATGTCCAAATTTCCTCTTTTCATGAAAACATCGGTCATATTGGATTAGGGCCCACTCTAATGACCTCATCTTAACTAATTACAACTGCAATGACCCTATCTCAAAATAAGGCCTCATTCTGAGTTACTGGGGTTTAAGACTTTAACATGTGAATTTTAGGGGTACACAACTCACAATTCAACCCATAACACTACCCTAGCCCATAATTAACCACTGCTATTGGATTTTTAACATTCTTCTAAAGTTTCTTTATGCAAAGCAAATACAAATACAGATTCTCCCTCCATCCCTCTCTCTTTCTTTCTCTCACCAGAAGATGGCCTAGTGTACAGAGTATACTTAATTTCATTCAACAGCGTACCCTGGCAAATTTTCCATATCAGTATATGGAGTTTTCTTACTCTGTTTTATAATTGCATAATATTATATTGTTTTGATACACCATAATTTATTTCACCAGTTTTGTTTGACAGATACTTGAGTTGATCACATTCTTTTGTTGTTATAAACAATGTTTCATGGAATAACCTAGAACTTAATTCTTTTCATACATATGCAAATATGTTTGTGGGATAAATTTTCCCACAATGGATTTGCCAGGTCAAAGGTATATTCATTTGCAATTTGCATTAATATTTTCAGGATAGTCTCCATAGTTCTTATACCAATTTATATTTCTGTCAGTAAAACATTAGACTGCTGTTCCCCTACAGCCTCACCACAGAATTTTTAGTTCGAAACTTGGAATTTTGCTGATCTTATAGGTAAAAAATGGTGGCTCAGCATAATATTTTTTAATTTGTGTTTCATTAGCTTTTTAATTTTTAATACCTTTATGTTCTTTCTCATGTCTAATTATGTTTCCTAATATAATGCTGTATTTTATGTTAGGATATGTAAGTCATAGGTAACATTCTGATCACTTTGAAGTCAGTCAAAATTTCTAGAAATTGAAATTTTTTTATGCTAGGAATAAAAATCTACTAAACATAAAGAAGTGCTAACTATTTACCTTTTTTTTACAATTTTATTTATATTTATTTAAATTATTTACATTTTGATCACTTAAATAAGTTTTAGTATTTATACTTTCCCACCTTTTGGGTGCGTTTGATATTTGCCTTTCTGATTATGACAGTGATTTTCTCGTGTAGGTGTTATCAAAACCAATGCCACAGCAGAGAAGACAGCAGAGAAAACAGATGAAGAAGAGAAAGGTAACTGCTTTTCGAAACCCTGCAGCAGGAGACACAGTATAACCCAAGACTTGCCTTCCCGGAGCCAGAGACACTCTGAGTTATAAGATGAAGGAGAAAAGGAGGAATCTGCAAAGGAGATTGAGAAGATATGGTCAGTGAGAAAGAAGGACCAAAAGAGAGTAGTGTCCCAGAAACCAGGAGAAGGAAGTGTTTCTGAAGTAAGAAGTCGTATTTAGGTAACAAGTTAAGAGAAGAACTGAACATTGACTGTTGGATTGATTTAGCAGTGTAGATGTCATTGGTGAGCTTGACAGATGCTGAGAAGGTCAAGTGAGAAGATTAAGTAAAAATACCTATTCAGTGTCCATTCAACAGAAGGAGAGGAAAGGAGTGGAGATGAATACAGACAGCCTTTGTAGAGAGTGTTCCACAAAGGGAAGGAGCGGGGGGATGTTTCACGAGGGTGGGGTTTGCCAGACAAATACGAAATCCGGTTTCTTCCTGACAGAGGACAGAGCTGCCCAGTCGTTACTCAACAAGCTGATCAGAAGCAACCTGGTCGATAACACAAACCAAGTGGAAGTCCTGCAGCGGGATCCAAAGTCCCCCCTCTACTCAGTGAAGTCCTTTGAGGAGCTTCGGCTGTGAGTATTTGTTCCTTTGAGCTGTTCCTTGCCAGTCCCTCCTTTTTAAAACTTGGAATCTCAGAGATTCTTATGGGAATTTTGTTTTTCACTTTATTTTAAAAAATCTTAATGTATTTACTTCTTTGACTAGTTAATAATTCACATGATTCAAAAATCAAAAATTATGAAAAAGTATACAGTAATGGTCTCTCGCCCACCCTGTCTCTTGGCTTCCCAGTTCTCCTCATGGTAGGGATTTTTTTAATGCCACAGATTTATTCATCATAGCTGAAAGTCTCTTTTCTTTTATGCTCTTAGAACTTTCAATAAAATATTGGCTGACAGGTGATTTCTGGATGTCAGGAACATTTCTTATTAGGTAAGCCCTCTTGTTAGACTATAGGGTTTACAATCTTAAGACCAGTTTATCTGCTTTTATAAGATCGGTCAAAAGGCCTGTGCAGGATTCCTAGTGCCTACAGTGGAAAGCAGCCTTCAACATTCTGGAAGTTTAAAAAAATCCAGAACCCAGAATTAAATTTTAAGGGAGCACATGTATGGTGGAATAAATAGATTCTTTGCTTTTATTCAGCAAAATCTGTGGTATGCCCACTGTGAGCAAATAGGGATCACATTCCTGTGAACTATCATCACTACTTTAGAGTAAGAAACTTAAAATACGAGAGCCGACTGGAACCAAATTAAGTTGTTAATGAAGTAATAGCTAAGAACGAGTTTTTTTAAGTGTGGCCTTTTTTTTGTTTTCAGGAAATTATACTTTTCTATATTTCTTCCCTCAAGGGTTTCATTCAGCAAATCTGTCATCTCTGCTTCTGTTCATAAACTATATTAGGGCAGCTAGATGTGCTCAATTGTTTCCTGAACTGACAGTTTGCTTTTCCAAGTATCAATGTTTTTTTTTTAAGTTCCTTTCATTTAAAAGACTGGAGCTCTCTGTTCTATCAGTGATGAATTATCCTCTTTGAAAAGGCAAGTTCTCTCTGATTTAGTTGTTAGTACCCAAAAGAAACAAAGATGAAACCTAATATACTTGGTCTGCTTTGTACTTAAAAGATTTGAATTAATCTGCAAAATAAAAGAAAAATAATGAGTCACTGGAAGCTCTTGGATCACTTGAAAATCCTCATTTGGTAGTGACTCTGTTCCCTTGGTAACCAAATCAGAATCTGCTTACCTTATAGCCTTTTCTCCTAAGTGGAGGACACCAAAGGTTATGTTTTCAAAGTTCTTCTGTCTGAGAACCAACATATGTCAGAAGAATTTGCCTTTTAGAGAGCTGGTTAAAATCCAAGGAAGGCTTAGAGAACAGAAGTCTTGACTTGGTTTGACTTTTCTTTAGAAATATCTAGTGTGATTTTTTTTGTTAAACACTTTGTCAATTTAGAAGTATCAGAGAGCTTCTTGTAAACGAGATGTGAGAGTAACTTTAATTGATATTTATTATGTAGCTGCTTATATAAGAAGTTATTGCTTTTCTAGTCTTGATTTTAACTAGACATAAGTAAATCTGAGCATTCATAAAGTTCCAAATGATAACCCCTCTTACCTATGTACTATATAGATGAGCTACTGGAAACTGGCTCAGTCAATTTTCTTGCCTCATGATTTTCCCAACTATTTGAACAGCTGGCTTTGGAAGGACCACAGAACACAAAATGACTGGTTCAATTTAACATCTGCACTGAGAAAGCTGAAATCCCATTTTCTAAAGGGACTTCTACATCCCTGCAGCATATTAAGCAGTGTTTATTTTTAGATACGTCTTTTATAATTTATACCATGAATTAATAAATACCACTCTTGCAGTATCCAGGGAACACTTGTCATCCAAAGCCAACCATATTTGTGGGTCTGCTGAAAGTGTGAATTTCTCCAAGAAAGGAAACGAGCATGTATTTTATGAATTGCGTAACAGTTGCAGATTAAGATTTAGTGGAAAAGATAGTGGCTTTGTTTTGCTTTAGGCAGTGTTTTTTAAGGTCTAGGAAAATATATCTTGCAGAGATAGGAAGCATCATTCTTTGCGAGAAAGAGGAAAAAATAAAATTCTAGGCCTTTAAAATAATCTCAACAACTAGGAATCCATCTTCTCTCTCCCTGGCTTCCTAGGAAACCACAGCTTCTCCAGGGAGTCTATGCCATGGGCTTCAACCGACCTTCTAAGATACAAGAGAATGCTTTACCCATGATGCTTGCTGAGCCGTGAGTATGCCGACCCCGGGTGCACCTCTTCAGAATTTGGTTTAATGGCATCCACCAACAGATGTTCATTGTTCTTGGGAGCAAGATGGGACATTTGGGGCAATATGTATTTTCAGGGAAACAGCTTGGGAAAGTGCAGAGAGAGTCAGATGGAATTCAGTACAGTTTCTGCTTTTCCCATTTAACAATAAAAACTGATAAAGTTAGCACTGTTATTCTGTACAATTTTAAAAATTGGGCTTTTACAAATTATTTTGAAAATTTTGAGACCTGCAAAAAGGCGTTAAGAGCAATACCAAGAACGTCTGTAACCCTATTCTGCCAAGAAGTAAAACATCATTAATCTAGTTACAATTGAAGCCTTTGTGGACCCTTCTCCTTTTTTATCCTCCTCCCCCACCAAAGTAAGCATCATCCTGAAGTGGGTCATCATTCTCTCATGTTTCTTTATACTTTTACTACATATCTATATGTCCTAAGAGTCTAAAGAGTAGTTTACATATTTTTAAACCTTAGATAAATGATATCATACTTGATGCAGCAACTATTTTTGTTCAATTCTATTATTTTTCTTTTTTAATGACAAAAATGCCACCTATTTCTATGACAATGGGTTATATAACGTGAAATGTGAAAGAAAGGTCCTTTTAAAGCATCTATATGACTTAGTATCTTACATTTTCCATAAAGATGGGAAAAGGGAACACACAAAAGGAACTGAGTCCTAGAGACACATTATGGCTCAGCAGAAAATGTCCTCCAGGATTTGTCTTGGCACAGATCTTATTCTGCAGCCTTAATATCCATGGGGCCCTTAGAGTACAAAACTAGGGCACTCCAGCTGCACTGGGGTCTAGAATGAGGATTTCATGGTATGAACCCATCTAAAGCAATCATTATTTTCCATAATATTTAAGCAGGTTTTTTAACATACAAAAAAAATTGCCCTTCCGTCCAATGTAGAAAACCTGCATTAGAGGGGGGAAAATCCATATTCCTACCACAACCAGAAAGAACATTTTGACACCTTTTTGTGTTAACTAATGTTATTTTCATCTCTTTTCTTTCTTGATCCAGTCCACAGAACCTGATTGCCCAGTCTCAGTCTGGTACTGGTAAAACAGCTGCCTTCGTCCTGGCCATGCTCAGCCGAGTGGAACCAGCAGAGAGATACCCGCAGGTGAGGGCTGGGGAATCCTGGGGGCCCTGGAAAGGGCAGCGCCATTTGGTGGGGTATTAACGAGGGTTCCCCTGGAGGGGTCTGACTGTTTCCAATGCCTCAGAATGTGGCTCAGGCAGAGCAGGTTTGTGCTCCAAGCCTGGACCTGGGTAGAAGTCATTCGGAAGCAGCCTTAAACAGTAGCTTCTGAAGGTGTCCACCCAGCCAAACTCAAAAAGTTGGCCTAGTTCGAGAGGATGTGATTCCCTGCACTGTGCAAGTGGTAATAACATTGGCATCCTTGTTGCTTTAGAGCCTGTTGTCTATTACCGAAAGGGTCTCCTAAACTCATCCTTTACGATCTCCCTGTCAGTGTTTATGCCTGTCCCCAACATATGAGCTGGCGCTTCAAACAGGAAAAGTGATTGAGCAAATGGGCAAATTTCATCCGGAACTAAAGCTTGCTTATGCTGTTCGAGGCAATAAATGTGAGTATAAAGGGATGAGAACTAAGCAGTGAGCAGGGTAGAGTGGTTGGGGGGTTGAATTTCGAAGATGTAATGATGCTATTTAGCTTTCTGGTTCAATCTGACCTTAGAGCCCAACTTCATTGCTGTTATTAGCAAATCTATTTAATTATTTGGCTAATTTGTTAACAGTTTTCTCCATTCTTAAAATAAGATTTCACATTGTTAGAAAATCCCTGCGTAGGTCCTGGAGTTCCTCACTGAGAATTCGGCATCCAGAGTTCTGGAAGCCGCTTACTAGATAGAGAGGGATTAGTGGCACTGAGGATGTTGGGTTGAGATCCAATCCCTTTCTTTAAAAGGAAGCACAGCTTTAGTAAGTAAACTAAGAGCATGCGCAGACCACTTTGTCTTACCAAAATCAGAAATCCTTCCAGCAGTTCTTCCATTGTTCTGCAGAATGTAATGTAAAGAATACAAGTTAAAATGGGGGTGGGCAGAGTTGAAAGTGGGTCATTAGAAAGTTATCAGAATATATAAAACTACAAATCACTAAGAAAAAAGGAATCAATCTAGTAAGAAAATGGACAAAAGAGGCCCAGTTGAACAGACACTTCACAAAAGGAATTCAGAGGGCCAGTAAACATGAAAAGATGATGAGCCTCATTAGTCGTCAGGAAAACAAATTGAAACCACTCAGATAAACAGAAATGAAGAAATCTGCCAATTACCAGTATTGGTAAAGACACAGATGAACCGGAGTGCTCACACACTCCTGGTGAGGAGTGTACACTGGTACAGTCACTTTAGGAAACAGTTGAGCGTTACCTAGAAAAGTTGGAGACCCTTTGACCCAGCAGTTTATAACTGCCTAGAGCAGTGGTTCTCAAACTTTTTTGGTCTCTTAACACCCTTAAACATTATTGAGGACCCCAAAGCGTTTTTCTTTATACAGGTTTTGTCTATTGATGTTCGTCATATTAGAAGCTAAAATTGAGAAATTTTTTAAATACTTCACTTTTGAAGAATATATATGGCCTTCCCAATAATTTTAGATACTCTTTTTTGGGTGCTATACCAAGTGGTAATTACATAAAAGTTAATTGCAGCGTGGTATCTGAAATCATATTAATGAGCTTTTCATCCTGTTACATTAAAATTTCTTGGTTTCTCCTGTACTTTCAATACATCTTTTGCCCAAGAATGATTTTCTAACATCATACCATGGTCAGTCAGAAAATATTGTTTTAATGAGTTATGCTGATCTTCCAGATGTAGACACATCTTATTATACAAAATTTTTTAATTGCATGCATTAACATCACCTCCAGATTCATCAGAGGAATTTATGCACATCAAGAAACTCAATTACAGTAGGACATAAAAGTTTTCCAAAATTCTAATTCTGATTTTCTCTTAAAAGCTTAAATATTATCATGGCAGGAAGTACAGTCAGTTGTATTTATTGAAGAGAAAGGCATTCTTGTTCATTTTCAAGAAAAGTGTATATTAAATTCCCAACTTGATATGCTATAGTTTGTCTATCAATCAGCAGACAAAAATGGCTAGCTAGTTCAGCTTACCACATAATTGATCAAAAAAGAGCTTTTTCTGGAGCAGACCATCATGATTTGATAAGCATCAAAAGCACTTTATAATTAGGTTAGGTATTTTTGTGCGTGTTTGATATCTCAAACTGATGGTTATACCTGAGTGAAATGTACCAGAATCTTGTGACAACGTATTATCTTCTCTACATTGTTTTATGATAACATGGGACTTCACTGTGTATGAAGGGTTAACATGTTAACTGTTTTTAATGTGTCATTTTTTAATGCTTCAGTTTTGACTGATAAGCAGTGGATATTGAGAACCATGATATGTTTAAAAGCTAATTTAAAACTTTACCAATAGATAGTTGAATTTCTAGCAAAAGGCCCTTTTTCCGCATTTTTAATTTTATTTGTTTTTAAAATAGTCAAGACATTGACATGTTTCAAATTGAAAAGGTATATGGTAGAAACTTCTTTCTGCCAACCACCTAGTTCTTCCGAAAGCCACCCAGGACTACCATTTCTCATGTGTCTTCCTAGAGGTACTCTATAGTTCATAATATATGTGTGTATGTGTGTGTAAATATATAATGTATGTGTATACTCACATAGACATGTACATATATTACATGTATTTTTTTGCCCCTTATGGTATACGAATTTCAACAATTTTTTCACATTTAAAAATGTATTTTGGAGATTATTTCATATCAGTTCCTAAATGGTTTTATACTTTTAATGGTGTCATTCATGGGGTGTATCATATTTTGCTTAATTATTTGCCTTTTGATACGTGCGTAAATGTTATTTCACACATATTAATATACATACAGGATTAATTCCTAATAGTGGAAGTATCGGTCAAAGGCCACCTGCATTAGTAATTTTGATAGATGGTTGTTATCATTTTCAGCTCCCAGCAGCTATAGTTTGAGAGTCATATGTTTTTTAAATCAAAGAAAATTTGTGCTTAAGAAAATTGTCTACACAATTGGAATGTCTAACAAAGCAAAAAAATCAATGGGCCGGGATCCTGGGACTAAAAATTACCAATGTGGGAGGACATCAGTGAACTATGAGTGAATCGATGCTATGAAAATAAGAGTAATACTAAAGAGAAAGAGTTGGATGATGTTGAATTATAGGAGAAGGCAGGAAAGGGGAACTAACACTTAACTGAGGATTCGCTCTGTAGGATTTAATCTTAACCACATGCAGTGAGAATAGGTATTATGCCCACTTTATGGTAGAAGAACCAAAGACCTTTGGAAAACACTCTCTGTGTTTTGAAATCTGGAATTAACTTGTTCTACTAACTCTGGAAGGATGGGCAAGACTTTAATTTACGAAACTGGTTTTGCCATAGAAACACCCACAGAACACATATTGTCTCCACAGTGGAAAGAGGTCAGAAGATCAGTGAGCAGATTGTCATCGGCACCCCTGGGACTGTTCTGGACTGGTGCTCCAAGCTCAAGTTCATCGACCCCAAGAAGATCAAGGTGTTTGTTTTGGATGAGGCCGATGTGATGATAGCTACTCAGGGCCACCAAGATCAGAGCATCCGCATCCAAAGGTAGGAATCTGGAGCCAGCAGGAACTTCTCGGCTTCCCGATCTGCAGCAGCTTCTCCTTTTACTTCAAACTCCTCTTCTTGCTCCTGCCAGATTCTTTGCTCTAGTACTTCCAGAAGCATTGGTTTGATGGGCCGTGTCAGCCTGGGTTGAGGAAGGAGACTTAGGGAATCTGTCACCACCCCGTCCCTGCCCCGTGTCTGCTTCTGCCTCCTCCCCACAGTGCTCCTCCCCCTCTGCCACCTTCCTGGGGATGCAGACCACCCAAGCCTGGGGAGGCTGTGCTTCCGCTGTTCTGGTGAAAAACTCAAGATCACGCCAAGTACCTGGGCTTTCTCTTGCAGGATGCTGCCCAGGAACTGCCAGATGCTGCTTTTCTCGGCCACCTTCGAAGACTCTGTGTGGAAGTTTGCCCAGAAAGTGGTCCCGGACCCAAACATTATCAAACTGAAGCGCGAGGAGGAGACACTGGACACCATCAAGCAGTATTACGTCCTGTGCAATAACAGAGACGAGAAGTTCCAGGCCTTGTGTAACCTCTACGGGGCCATCACCATTGCTCAAGCCATGATTTTCTGCCATGTGAGTAGCAGCAGGAGCAGCAGGCCTGGTGGGGGAGGCGCTGCCCTAGAGACTGTTGCCCTGCCCCCTCCCTCTCCTCCCTCTGAGAAGGACCAGGTTCCTCTTATGGAACTGGGAAGGGAACAGTTTGGAAAGATGTAAGAGACATTTGCTTCTTAGTGTCTTCAGGTGTACATAGCGTAAGCATAGAGCCCTCTGAACTTTGTTATTCATAGGAGATATATTAGAAAACCCAAGAGAATCGACTAGTATTTATAAGAAAAATAAGAAACTAAACAAGTTGGGTGGTTATAAAATTAATATAAAATAGCTAGTTTTCCAGTCTCAAATAGCAAACACTTTTTAGAAAATGGAAAGATATATCTTATTTATAATAGCCAAAAAATAAAAACAAAAATCTTCAAGAATAAATATTTAAGATATATGAAGAAAACTTCAAAATGCTGTTAAGAGGAAGACAGTTCTTCCTCTGTTGTTGGAAGACTTGTGATTTTAGAGTGACATCCCTCCCCCAACTTTAGATTGAAACTTTCAAACCTACAGAAAGGAAAAAAAAATTTATGCCCTTCAACTATTGTCATTTAGTCACATTCGCATTATTCATCTGCTTGTATATTTGACCTATCTGTACTTTTTCTTTTCGCGGAATCATTTTAAAGGTAGTCGTTGACATCATGATAATTATCCCCTATGCAGTTCATCCATATTCCACTTGCCCCACGTGTACCAAAAAGGTTCTTTATTGCTTTCGATTACTGTCGTTAAACCTAAGAGCCAATCAAAGATTGTTGCATTTAATTGTCATGTCTCTTGAGACTCCTTTAATCTAGAACAGTTTCTCCACCTTTCATGACATGAACATCTGAAAGAGTCCAGGCTAGTAAGTAGAATTCCTCTGATTTTTTCTCCTGTGTGATTTTATTTGGTTAAATATTTCTGTAAGATTACAATCCAGTTGACATTGTTACTTCCTATTACAGCGTCATGATAACAATCTTAGAAATTTAAACCTTACCTGCTAAGTTTCAGGTAGAATCTTCCGGATTCAAAATATTCTTTTCAGGTACCTTCATTTCTCAAATGTTTTCTTCCTTCCAGACCCGCAAAACAGCTAGTTGGCTGGCAGCAGAGCTGTCAAAAGAAGGCCACCAGGTGGCTCTGCTGAGTGGTGAAATGATGGTGGAGCAGAGGGCTGCGGTGATTGAGCGCTTCCGAGAGGGCAAAGAGAAGGTTCTCGTGACCACCAACGTGTGTGCCCGCGGTGAGCAGGCAGCGTGTCCTGGTCTGCCAGGCTTGGGGTAGCTAGAGAAATCTTCATATGTGAAAAGTTCAAGATGGTTCAGGGGGATCAGGTTGGGTGAGTGGTGACATTGTTTTCTAGGAGAGACTGGATTCTCTCAGCAGGTAAGAACTTTCACTGAAGCCCGGAGTCCTGACTTGGAAGGCAACATACAGGCAGGTTCATAACGGCACCTGTTCTACTTAGGGCATCCACCGAGGTTTTAGCAGCATCTCTAGGTGCTCGTGTTTAGCAGAAGCTTTCTTACTGACTTCATAATTTTGTTAGCGCTGCCAGCGTTCTGTGGTTTTCCTCTGAGTTCTGCTATATGCCACTTGTCCCTGAATCCCAGAGCTGGCCCACCCAGACTCCTCCTTCCACCCGAAGTTGGTGTATGTGGCTCAACTGGGTGACAGTGATTTCTGTCTCTCATCCTTACCCCTGTCCACCTCTCCTTCATGCAGGTATCGATGTTGAACAGGTGTCTGTCGTCATCAACTTTGACCTTCCCGTGGACAAGGACGGGAACCCGGACAACGAGACCTACTTGCACCGGATTGGGCGCACCGGCCGCTTTGGCAAGAGGGGCCTGGCGGTGAACATGGTTGACAGCAAGCACAGCATGAACATCCTGAACAGAATCCAGGAGCATTTTAGTAAGTCCTGGCAGTTTCCTCACAGGGCCAAGTCCAGGGGCGGGGGAAGGGTAGATTTTCCTGCGGCCCAAGAGAGGCTTTGTCCTTATCACAGTCCCCTCCTTCCCTACAATATGGAAGTTGTCAGAGAGCACGCCTGGAGAGTTAGGGTGAGGGACTCAAATGACAGCTCCCCCTTGGCCAGGCTGAGGGGTCTGGGGCTCTGACTCTTGCTGTCCATGTCGCTTTCTCAGGCACCAGAGGCTTTGGGGTTAGATGAAGAATCGATGTGGCCAGAGACAGGGCTTGTTCCTCGTAGGACAGAGACCTGTGTGTGTTTATTTCCTCCGGGCTGTGCTGTCCCTTCCTTAGGTATATGTCTCCATGGTAACTGCATGTTGATCCTTCTTTGAATCTTTTTTCCCCAGATAAGAAAATAGAGAGATTGGACACGGATGATTTGGACGAGATTGAGAAAATAGCCAACTGAGAAGCTCCACCAGCCCCTGGTGCCTGCCCTTGGCACTCGCCCTGCATGGGAGAATAGTGCTGTCACGGCACAGGCCTACACAGTCACCAAAAGACGAAAGCACGAGTAGACAGAAGCTACCTACCTCATTTTAAATTACATTTGGACTTGACAGAAATTATGCAAATGATTAGAAAAGGTAGAAGGAAATTTTTGAATTTTGGAAAATTTAGTCCTTTTTCCCCCATTTTATTAAGCCATGGTTTCCCCCATCTGTATAATAATCTAGTTGCTATTGGTAATCACTGGTCCCAGGATCTTTTGCCTGTTTTCTGACTAGGGGTGTTGGGACCAGCCTCCAGCCCCTAAAGAAATGATAGAGGTCGAGTTCGGGAGAGGCCACCAGGTGGATGGTGTGTGGGAAGCCACAGCTGAGGCCTTTGATCTGCTTCCCTTGTCTGTCCCTGACTGAGACCTGTCACAAATGTCTCTTGCCCTTGGGGCCATCTTCCTTCCCCTGAAATCCAGAGGCGTTCCAGCTGATCCCTTTTACTTCTGTTCTCTGTGCCAGAGAATATCCCAGTTTCTCCCTGGGTGAGCATCTTGGCTACTTTTGTAAACCTCTGATTTGGGGAGAAACACAGAAGTCGGTGAATCTTCAGAGAGATTAGTCTGGCAAGGGTAGATGAATCCTTCGAGGGTCTGGGCCTGCCTTCTCTTGCTGTTTTTTGTCTGCTCTGGTACCTGGTAGTCAGGGCAGCCAGGAGACACCAGGCAATTTTCTGACACACACCTGGCAGAGCGAGTTGGTTCTTACCCATGGGGTGTCACACTATGCCTGAAGGTGAGCAGCGGAGTTTGGAAAGGAAGTTCTGACCAAGTGAAAACTCTGATTATCCTGTTCATCTGTAACAGTGGATCTGTTGCTTACTTTAATTCATACATTGTATGAATAAAGATGGATAATTAGAGCTATACCCATCATTATGTTAAGAAATTTTAAAATAATTATGAAACATTTACTAATCATGAGTTGTTTTTATTTGTATTTTTCTGGTTATTAGACTAATATATGCTCATTAAAAATATATTTGGGTGCATATATATGTAAAGTGCAAGTGCTCTCTGCCTCCACCTCTCTGGGATCGCCATTGCTAGCAGCCTGGTGAACATTCAGTATGTTGCCTTCTGTTTGCATGCATCAACCCACTTTTACAAGTGGGTTGCCTTTTCACTTACCAGCATATTTTGGACATCTGAAATGTCCAGCACACATAGATCTTACTCTTGACAATGGCATTCTATCATGCAGCTGCCCAGCATTTATTTCATGGTTCCTCTAGTGATAGGCATATGGTGTTTTCCACTGTGTTGTCTTGCCACAGAGCCACAGGAATATCCTCACTCATCTCTGTGCCCTGCGAAGACTCCTAGGATGTATTCCTGGAAGTAGAGTTGTTGGGTTAAAGAGTGGGGACATTTAAACTTTTAATACATTGCCAAATTAGCCTTCCCAAAGGTTTTTACCAGTTTATGTTACTGTAGTGATAACAAAAACACTACCTATTTTCTTACCTGCTTGACAACCTATATCACCAATTTTTAAAACTTAGTCTGAGTAGCAAAAATAGGTTACATCATTGCTTTTTTGTTTTGTATTCAGTGAGGTTTGGCAATTACTCAGTTTTGGATATTCATATTTTCTTTTGTCTCACCATTTTGCTATTGCATTGTCAATCTTTAGGTTTTTAGCCACCTTTCTATTTTGGGGAAATTAAACTTTGATTTGAGTGGTAGATGTTTTCCTAGTTTGTCTTCACAAATTCATGTTAATACAACACAAAAGTTTAATGTTATATTTCATTTTTTAAAAATCTAGATTTTATGTCATGGCTGAAAAAGCTTTCTTTACCCCAGTATTATAAATTATTTAGTCTTGTTTCTGTAGTTGCAGTTCTTGGGGAATAAATTTTCTAAATTCTTGTAGATCTGAAAATGTTTTGCCCTGCTCATTGGCTGAGTGATTATGGTTTCCTGAGGTGAGCCATGGCAGGACTGTGGGTGTGTGGGCCCGAGCCATGGACACTGAGCGAATGGGGAGGAGATACAAAGGTCCCAGATGAGAGCGGACGTGAGTGAAAGACTTGAGAGTCTGTGTGGGTAAAGCCAGGTACAGGAGGGAAGGACTGCAGGTACATAGGGGCAGTTGTAACCCATAGCTGGAGGTGGTCAAAGGGCATCTGAGAAGAAAGCCTAGGGTTAAGAGAGGAGCAAGGTTCAAGAAAGGCAGAGGACCAGGTGAAGTAGGGGGAATGGGGAGGCGGTGGGAAGGAGGTGGGGAGGGGAGATGGAGGAGGCACAGTGGAGTGCCAGCATTCCAGTTAAGTGACACCCACTCAGAGCTGAAAACAACAGTGATACAGAAAACTAGAAAACACACATCGCCTGATCCCCAAACAAGATGATGATTTCTGTGGATTAGCAAAGGCAAAATACAAAGTGGTGAGCAGGGCTGAAACCAAAAGCTTTTTGGGCTCCAGTCCAAAAATGGAGCAGCTACAGGCGGTTAGGTCCTGTGGAGCAGAGAGGACCGGAAGCTCTGCACGCAAGCTCAAACCAAAGCCAGCCTTGCTGCTGGGAGGGAGCTGGACTGAACTGGCTGGACATGAGACTTTTCTTAAGACTCAGGACTAGAAAGGTGGTGGGAGAACTTGGACACCACCCTCTCTCCCCACCACTAGTAACTGACACACAGTTCTGTTGACTCTGCCCGGTCTATGATATCCCCAGATCACTGAATGTCAGCAGGCCTAGTTCTAGAATAAGGTCCAAAGGAGCAGGGAGCTGGATGGAGTCAACTGCTAACCGTAGCTGTGGATTATGGGGAGAGAAGAAATCTAACACTAAGAAAGACTGCAAACTATCAAAACAAATTCGCCCCAAGTAAAATTAGTTTTATAGAATGGCCTGGTAAGGGACTTTATGTGCGTTTGGCTGCTCAAAGAGATAATACACTTCGCTAAAAAAGAGCAAGGTATTTTTAGACAAAAGCAGTGGCATGCTGAAATTCACAAGAGCTAACTTAAATCACTGGTAGCCTGAAACTAGCCATGCTGGGAGTCTTTACACCACAGAAATGAGCAGATGCTACCAGTTTTTTGTTTTCAGAGAAAGAGGCTACTAGCATACCGTTGGGGAGAAATAAAACAAGTTTATAAATGAGAAAAGTAGCCATTGTAATAAACTCAATAAATGGGACTCCTAGATTTAAATCCTAATTCTACTCTTGATTTAAAAACAAGCTAAATTTCACTTGTTTCACACAAAACTATTTCTTGCTCCCATAAAGTCTAAAGTGGATGTTTGTGATTGGTTGAGCTCTACAGAACACTTCTCCCCTGACTCCTTCAATTAAAAAAATACTTTTTATAGACTTAATTTTTTAGAACAGTTTTAAATTTACAGAAGATGGTAGAGAGGGCTCCCATATATCCCCCCTGCCTCACACCCAGATTCCCTTATTAACATTAGTGTCATTCATATATTTATTATAATTAATGAGCCAATATTGATACATTATTTTTCAGATTTCCTCAGTTTTCCTCTAGTGTCTTTCTGTTCCAGGGTCTCATCCAGGACACCATATTACATTTAGTCTTCATGTCTCCTTAGGTTCCTCTTAGCTGTGACAGTTTGTCAGACTATCCTGGTCGTTGATGACCTTAACAGTTCTGAGCAGGGGTCAGGTATTTTGTAGGAGTCTCCTCTCTACTGGGATTTGTCTGATGTTTTTCTTATGATTAGACTGGGATTATAGGTTTTGGGGAGAAAGGCCAAAGAGGTGAAGTTTCATTTTTATCACATCATATCACAGGCACATACTATCAATATGACATTGGTGTCATCAAGGTTAGATAGTATTTGTCAGGCAGTATTTGTCAGGCTTCTCCACTGTAAAATTACTCTTATTTCCTCTCTTTCATACTTTACTCTTTGGGAGGAAGTCACTGTGCACCGTGCATATCTAAGAAGTAGGGAGCCATCCTCCTTGAGGGCAGAGTAGCTACATAAATTATTTGGAATTTTTCGGCATAGGAAATTTATCTCTTCCCCATTTATTTAATGATGCATTTATATAAGTATAGACTGATGATGTTAACCTTGATCACTTGGTTAAGATGACTGATATTTAAAAAATATTTTAAATATGCTCAAATTTTAAAGTGTAGTTATTTCATTGATAGCAAAGAAAGCTTCGATTTCTGCCCCATCCCTTGAGTGGCCTTTAGTGTGGTTCTTCGTGGAGACAGGGTTTCATAGGAAGAGCTGTGGAGATGCAGCCTGGGAGACTGGAACATCCATCCAAGGAGGACTGGGTTGTCTTCCTCCTAATGAGTCCCTTTACACATTTTATGACAAATTATAAATACTAAAGAAATATTGCAGGAAGGCCTTCCATGATTTAGTTTATATTCTTATGAATTGTTTGAATTATTTTTGTCATGAATGTCTTCCTTTTTCAATTAAAACAGGAAGTTATTTCATAACAAAAGAAAGATTGAACTCAGATCCTCAGAATGTAGACACCATATGTTCTTTCCGCTTCACTGAGCTTTCCCCCTGGAGAGAAGCTATGCTGCCAGAAAGAGCCTGTATTATTCTCAAGAGCAGAAACAGTCTGTTAGATGAAAGGTGTGATTTTATATTTTCAGAAGAACAGGCTAGTCCTGATACCCACGGTATAGTAAGTGTGGGAGAAGGGGGAATTTTCTTGCATTTGTGTGGGTTAGTTGTCGCCCAGGCACAGACTTGCTGCAGAAGCTGGGATTTTTCTGGAGAGGTAGTGAATAGGGACATTGATTCCTAATTCACACTCAGAAAGCAATAATTTAATTTAAAATATAGTAGTTTTAGGATTTTACCCTTCCTCTCACCTAGCCAGAAATGATATTTTCTTACCTTGCCAAACAGTTCTTTGCATGCTAAATGGTAACTCACAGCCGCTCTTGTGATGGGTAAAATACTTCATCACTTCCTTCCCTTACCCTGGCATCAGCCCGCACACCAGCCAGGTGTATATCCACTCACCCCTGCCCAGGGCATAAACCCAAGCATTTTTCTCCAAAGACTCCTCTGTGTTGTAGACTGTATTACTGCTCACCCCAATATGGTACCTCTCCCAGAGGAGGATTGCGTATCCCTGCCAGAATGAGGCATGGCCATGGGACTTCCTTGGCATCAAAAAATGTGAACTTCTTGACAGAAGCTTTAAGAGACAGCCTGTGATTCACCAGATTCTCTTTCCTTGCCCCCAAGACCACAGGTCCATCACAGATGGTGTCACTGTCCACCTGGGTCCCTGAGTGACTGTGATGCTCAGAGCCCCGTGATGGAAATGTGGCTTGAAGGAGAAATAAACTTTGTTGTTTTAAGCCACTGGGAGCTTGTTTATTACTGCAACATAACCTAGCTTATTATTATCCTCCCACCACCCCATCCGCTATGGAATGACTGGTTCCCTGTCCACCTACCCTAATGCCAAAGCAGATGGTAGGTAAGCCACAGCCCATGATATATACATCACAAAATATATATAGCACAAAATTCCCAAGCGACTTCTTGATCCACTCTTTCAGAAGAGAGAACAATCTTCAATTTCCAATTATTTAAAAAGCCTCCATCATGACAGAGAGGAGTTAAGTAAGCAACCACAAAACAACTCTGCGGAGACAGATGGAAATCAGAGAAGAAAAAGGTGTCCGCTAAGTAGATGATTAAACATCACACTTACTTGACTTTCCTTCCCACAACCTCGCTAAAGTTATAGGGAAGAAATGAAAAAGTATAACCTCACATGGACAAATAAAATGGGAGCAACTACATCAGTAGAAGAGTGAATTTAACAAAATATTTGGAACACAAAAAATGGATTAAAAAAGCTCCCATTTTTAACAATACAGAGAACTATAGAGCATGAAAAAAAAGCTAACCCAAAAACCAACTACAAACCTGATTATATATATATATATACACACCTTGATATATATATGATGTATATATACACACATACATACACATATATATGTGTATATATACATATTTGATCTATTTGAATATATTTAAGAGCTATCATTTTTAAGATTTAATTTTTACATTTAGTTCTGATTCATGATTCATTTGTCATTTTGGTGAATGGTTTAAGGTATGCATCTAATTTTACCCTTTTCCAAATGGTTATCTAGTTATCCCATAAAATTTATTTAAATATCCATTTTTCCTAAGTGATTTGAGAGGCCATCTTTATTATAAACCAAATTTCCATATGGACTTGGGCCTAGGCAATCAGACTAATGAAACAGAATAGATTATCCAGAAATAGGCTCAAGTGAATATGGAATATCAGGACAGTGATTACCTTCAGGGGAAGAAAGGGGTCATGCTTGGCAAGGAAGATGGAGTGGGGAGGCATCTGAGCTGCTTACACAACCTGAGTGGTGGTTATATGAGTGCTCATCTTAAAATGATTCATTAAGGAACCTCCATACCGTTTTCCAAAAGGCTGTACCAATTTGCATTCCCATCTACAGTGAGCAAGAGTTCCCCTTCTCCGAACAAGTTTTGGCGAGGATGTGGGGAACAGGGAACCCTCGATACACTGTTGGTGGGATTGAAAATTGGTACAGCCATTATGGAAAACAGACTGGAGGTTTCTCAAAAAATTAAAAATGGATCTACCTTTTGACCCAGCAATTGTACCTCTGGGTATTTATCCAAAGAAAACCAAAAGAATAATTTGTAAAGATCTTTGCACCCCTATGTTCACATAGCCAAAATATGGAAGCAACCTAAATGCCCATCAACAGATGATTGGATAAAGAAGTTATGGTTCATATATACAATGGACTATTACTCAGCCATTAAAAAATTGAAATCCTATCATTCTCAATGATATGGATGGACCTAGAGGTTATTATGCTGAGTGAAATAAGTCAGACAGAGAAAAATAAATACCATATGATTTCAATTATATGCAGAATCTAAGGAACAAAAAGAACAAACTAATCAAAAACAGACTCACAAATATAGAGGACAATGTGGTGATGGCCAGAGGGGAAGGGAATTGGAGGGGTGGGAGAACAGGGTGAAGGGTTAAAAAAGTACAAATTAGTAGTTGATAGATGGTCACAGGGATGAGGAGGGTGGCATAGGGAATGCGGTCAGCAATAATGTAATGGCTGGGCGGAGAGCCAGAGGAGAGAAAGAGCAATCAGGGGGATTGTTTTATAAACTATGTAAATGTCTAACCAATATACTATATACATGAAACTAATAATAAAACAAAATTAAAAAAAAAAATAGTTTCCCTTTTCCACAGTCTCGCCAGGACTTATCTCTCGTTTGTTGATGATAGCCTCTTAATAGGTGTGGGGTGACATTATATTGTGGTTTTGACTTGCATTTCCCTGATGATTAGTCATGTTGAGCACCTTTTCATGTACCTGTTGGCCACTTGAGTATCTTCTTTGGAAAAATGTCTATGAGTTGCTCTGCCTATTTTTAAATTCGATCATTATTTTTTAAATCTATTGAGTTCTAGGAGTTCCTTATATTTTTTGGCTATTAACCTCTTATCACATATGTGACTTGTAAATATTTTCTCTCATTCCAAAGGTTGCCTTTTCATTTGGTTGATCGTTTCTTTTGCTGTGCAGAAGCTTTTTTAGTTTGATATAGTCCCACTTGTTTATTTTGCTTTTGTTGCTTGTGCTTTAGGTATCATATCCATAAAATCATTGCCAGACCAATGTCATGGGGCTTTTTCCCTATGTTTTCTTTTAGGAGTTTTGTAGTTTCAGGTTCCATCTGGAGTTAATTTTTGTGAGTTGTGTAATATAGGGGCCCAGTTTCATTCTTTTGCATGTGAACACAGAACTACCATATGATCCAACAATTCTGCTTCTGGGTACATATCCAAAGGAAATGAAATGTCTATCTCAAAGAGTTATCTGCATGCCCATATTCATTGCAGCATTATTTACATTAGCTAATACATGGAAACAACCCAAGTATCCATGAATGAACGAATAAAGAAAATGTGGTAGATATACATAAAATGGAATATTATTCAGCCATAAAAAGGAAGGAAATCCTGTCATTTGCAATGACAGGAATGGAACTTAAGGGCATTATGCTGAGTGAAAAGAGCCAGGAACTTAAAGGCATTATGCTAGGTGAAATGAGAAAGATAAATACGATATAATCTCACTTATATGTGGAACCTAAAAAAAATCAAACTCGATAAAACAGAGAGCAGACTGGTGTTTGCCGGGGGCAGGGGGATTGGCAGTGTGGGGAAGTGTGAGTGAAGGTGGTCAAAAGGTACAAACTTCCAGTTATAAGATAAATAAGTTCTGGGGATGTAATCTACAGTATGGTGACTATATTATATCATATATTTGAAAGTTATTAACAGAGATTTTAAAAGTTCTCACCACACCCCAAAATTTTAACTATATGAGGTGATGACTGTTAACCAACCTTACTATGGTAATCATTTTGCAACACATACACATATAAAACCACTACCTTGTACACCTTACATGCTTATATAATGTTATATGTCGATTACTTTTCAATAAAATTGGAAAAATAAATGAAACATTAGCTTTTGAAATTCTCCCATGTAACATGTTCAGCTACCTCTTTAATCCTTTTCTTCAGTCCATTTTGGTATCCAAATGGCAGTGGAAATTGTTTTTCCTTTACCACAGAAATTATATATGTATATTATATATAATTCTATTATGTCTATTACTTATAATATCATTTATTTTGCTTTGCCAAATAAATTTCTATCATGTAACTTTAAAAAATATTTATTATTCATTATGCTATATATTTTTCTACATTTATTTTTATGCTCTTTTCTGTATATATTATATCCTACAATAAAAAAGGATTTAAAAAACTCATTTAAAAAATGCATTAGTGATTGGGGCACCAACATCTTTGAAGAACCCTGTGGTGGCTGTCATCTATAAGTCAGAGAATAATGGCATCCCAGCATGATAAAGGCCAGAAAGACGTGCCTAATTACTTGAGATAGGCAGACACACTTGCAATAACAAACCACAGCATAGTACTTAGAGTTTTGACCTAAAAGGGCTCAAGACAATAGTTAATTGACCGATAGGGTCCCAAGAAATGAAATAGGTGCCGGGCAGCCTACTAAAGTACTTGATGGATTTTGGAGGGTAAATTCTAGGACTGCTGAGAAGAAACCTGAGTTACGGTGACTGAGATTCACAGCTTCTTACCGAGTTCCCAGACCTCATTCAGGTCACATACCTGGAGTTTCTTTTTCAAGGAGATTGCAGGGTCCTTAAGGAGTGACCCTCTGACATAACTCAGATGTGAATCTTTCCCCAAGCCTTTCCAGAAAGACTTGTTTCCCAGAGTGACAGTGCACTGGAGAAAGGGAAATACCAAGACCTTCAGGAGTTATCCGATACTGGCTCTGGGACCTGAATGTCAGTGTAGTTCGTTAGTTAGGGTCGGCTTAGTATGACAAATGACAGCTGGAGCTCTGGTCTCAGTCCACTTACTGTCGGGTTTAATGAGACCACAGACTCATTTTAAGGTAATTTCCTCAGTCCAAAAACAGAAGAGAGATTTTACTACCTGGCAAAATCCCCATATGGGCAACCTGACCCATGGAGTGAAGGCGATTATGATGGAAGTTCCTGGAACTGTCTCTAAGATAGTCAAAAGTCAACACTACATCCCTGCAAGGATTTGCAAAGATTGGTGCTGCCATTATATTTGAGTTGTGCACTACCGTGGTTTCTTCCTTGTCCAATTTACTCACCATTTGAGCCATGGAGAATGGCAGTAGTTTATTGCAAATGTAATCAAGTGGTAATGCCAAGTTGTGATTCCAAGTATGGTATCTTTGTTAGATCAAAGTGTCATTCTATCTCATGTAGGCTCAAGTGGGTTCAGATGGCCCAAGGAAACAGCACGGACAGATGTCCCAGATGCCCATAGCACCTGCTCCTATAATTTTACTGATTTCCTGCCAACCTACACCTATGGCATCATGGGGAATTCCACAGAATCTGGAAACGGAGGGGGAAAAGCCCATCCTGGTGCCTACTGAATCTGCATGCTGAGCTGGCCCTGGCCGTGGACAGTCTCTGTCCTGCTGATCCACTTGGGTGCCCTGAAGGACAGTAGCAAAAGATCACATTCACAGAGGGCATAGCTGGTGGTCCAGGGTTGGGAGGCCTCAAGTGTAAGTGAAGGGTGTCTGGGAAGTCATTCTCTAGCCCGTTCTTAGCCATTATTTGGTCATAGCTCCCCATTGACACATTTCAAAACAGACGAATGACCATATAGTTTTTTGTTGTTGTTGTTCTTTTTAATTCAGAAAGAGAAAGGGAAGGAAATAAAAAAAATGTTTAAATAACTATTGCAGAGAAGGAGATCTGGGCTGGATGCTGGGACCCACCTCTTCCAGATTGGGGATTTATTAATGTTTTAAACAAAAGAAAAAAGAACAAAAGAGAAATAAATTATTCTGTTTAATACTGTTTGGCATAATTGCATTGTTTTTTCGTCTTCTAAACACTCAAAACAGCCTCTTCGGGAAGCACTGCGATGAGACCGGCATGAATGGCTGGTGCCTTGGCTCTCTAAAATGGTGGGGGAGGCCCTGAGAGAGGCATTCCATTAACGGCCCCCCAAATCCACTCCCATTCTGTACTCCACCTACTTTTGGAATCAGGAAGGAACAGACTCAAGCTAAGTTCTCAATATATTAACTTTTGGGGGTGCCCACTGCCCTGCCCCAATCCTCCTCTAATACCCCTGCTAGTTACAGTTCCCCCAGCCAGCTGCAGGAACGACACCAATGGCCAGGAGGCTGCTTGGTGGTAGCAACTCACTAAGAAAAAGAGTGGTATTTGTGTTGTCACTGTTGGGAGGGGGGTCCTTTTAGTGGTTTGGAGCTTCACAGAAGCCCTTTTCCACCTCCTAAACTTCTCTAACCTTGAAGGGCGAGAGTACCACCAGCAGCTTCCTCTAGGGACTTCAGCTGGGTTCGGTCATGCAAGTAGCTTCCACTTGGAACCCCTGGTTGTTAGCTTCCCAGCCTTTTCCAGAGCTGGAAATGGAAAGTGAGAGTGAGGAAGCAGGTGAGCATCGGGCAGGGGATGCACGGGCGGGGAGGCGGCATGCAGGAGTGCGAGTCTCCTCCCCCCCAGCTAGGATCTCGGCTATTTCCACGGCCAGTTCAGAATTTTAAAAGAACCTGTGTTGGTCAGCCATACCTGGTAGCTTCAGGTTAACTAAATTATGAGCCCAAAGCAAATACCACCCCCAAGCAAGAGGTTTCCTATTCCTCTTTGGGGTGATGGGTGAAGGAAGCTGGTGCATGCACCAGGCAGCTGGGCTCCCCATCTCCAGCCTTTTTTCCCCACGTGTTGCTCCCTCTCCCTAGAGCCAGTTTGTGTGTTGGGGGGCAGGCAGGCAGAGACAGAGACAGAGACAGGAGAGAGAAAAGCAGCAGTGCCCCAAACAATCTCAGGGCAAGTTTTGATTTTTTTTTTTTCTAGAGCAACAAGTAGGCTGGTGAAGAGGCTAGGGCCTAAGGAGAGACGCTAAAAAGGTTGTGAAGAACAGGAGGGGCAGAGGGTGCACGTGAGTGAGAAGCACCTTACATTTGATGTGACGGGACTTCCTTGTCTCCTGTCTTCTTACACCTTTGTTCCAGAGTTAGGCCCTAGGCAAATTCCAACCCCAAGCAAGGGGTGAACAAATTCGTTTTCTGGTGAGACACTAAATGCCCTGGTCAGAAAGGCCATTCCCAAGGGTGGCCAAAGGCAGGGAGGAGGGGGGAGGAGGAGGGTACCCACGTGCCCTCGGATTCTCACTGCATTTCTTTGGTGGGTTGACACCCATCTGGGCCTGACCGATAAAGGAAATGTGGGGTCTAAAATTCTCTCGGGGGCCCGGAGCGGCTTGGGAGGGCTCTGGCTTTTCCTCTGGGGTGAGGGCGCACTCCCTGGAAATCACCTGGACCGCCCCTCCACCACCCCGAAGCCACTAGGGACTCCCGAGGAGGAGAAGCCGAACCGCCGCTCCCCGACCCCTCCCCTGCGTTTCGTTCCTGGCGCCACCAGCGGGGTCATGCCCGCAAACGACTGCGACAGCTCCGGCCGAGCCTGAGGAAAGTACTTCTTCGAGGACAAAAGTAACGGCTACTCCTTAAAAAGCATGAAATAAAATCCTACCCCAGAGCATAGGGGAGTGGGGATTGAAACCGCTGGCCTGCCTCCGAAGGCCATTGATTGGAGATAGGGCCCAGCGCCGGAAGTTGACGCTGGAACTGGGTCGCATGATTGGTTGAAAGAGGCTCCGACTGCAGCGTTGATTGGTGCCAGGCCCCTGAGTCTTGTGATTGGCAGCATGATTGGTCCAACCGCGGCGTCGCTCCCGATTGCCTGGAGACGCCCCACACCTGGCGCCACGCCCACGCCCAGGCCGTCGCCCTCGGGCGGCCTTGGGTCCCAGCCGGCAGTGCGCGCCCGCGCCTCGCGGCCGGGCGGGAAGAGTCGCGGCCAGACCTGGCTCAGTTGCCTCGGTAGACCTCGATCTTGCTGGCCTTGGCCAGCATGTCTATGATGTGGGCCTCGAAGTCGGCGTCGTGCACGCCGGTCTTCCGGAACTCGCCCGCGTACCGGTTATTCTCCCAGTAGTGGTGCCAGTTGCCCCGGCTGTCGGCCCCGAACCCGTACACGTTCACCTGCAGGGAAGGACGGCGCAGGTCACTCTTTCTGGGGACCGTGGAGGACTGGACGCAGGAGAGCCACGGGTCGTGGTGGGGAAGGAGAAAGGAGCCACAGCGACCCGACAGCTGCCGGGAGGCCGGCGGGTAATCGATTCCCCGAGCGCCGGCGGCGTTGGAAGACGGGACACCCAGGCCCGATGCTAAGGACACTGATTCACAGTGGGAGGCTGCTGCTCTCCTTCAGCTCTCCTTCCACCCGTCTGTTTGCGTCAGGAAAAACGGCCCGCTTTAGGGCTAGTCCAACCCAAGCTAACTTTTTTTTTTTTTTTAATGGAGTACTTTTATTTGAAAACTGGTCAAGTACTCAATACCATACGCTGAAGAATTTACTGGCAAAAGTGGGTGTGCTAGGAGTGCGCATTTCAGTGTATGGCATAGTAGCCCTGACAGCTAGCGAGATGCAGGCCCTTGAATGACTCACCTCCGTGTTCAATACACAAGAGTAGGCCCGTGGGAGACAGCCATTCCGCTGCAACTTCATTCTGTTTATGTTTTTGGTTACTTTTTCTTTATGGCAAGTAATATCAATTATGGTAGTAGTATTCTATTTCCTTTTAAATAAATTTAACTTTTCAATGAAGTGATTTCAGATTTGGCAAATCACGAAAGTAGTAAATTTGGGAAATGCAAATCTATATGGCCTAGAAATGGAGGGAATCAAAGCCACTGGGTTTCTGCCCATAGAAACATATTCCTCTTGAGGCAGCGCTAAGTCCTGAGAAGAGCTGCTTTCCCTCTGTTCCATGGATCCCACTATTTTACCCCCAGACTAGGCTACCCACCTCATCACACACATGCAGGGCAAAGAAGAGCACCAGCATCCCTGTGGAAGGGTACCGCCCGTGATGCTCTGTCCACCTGTCATGGATGTACTTGAAGAAGGCTGGGTTGTAGATCTGGACCTGGGGGAAGAAAATGGGATAGGCACATAAGGGGCTTTTGGGGCCCAGAGACTGAGGCCAGGTTCTGAGCAGCTTTTGCCAGTTCCTCCATGCTTTCCAGTGGACCTGTTCGTCCATGCTCCCTGGTTCCTGCAGCCTCTGTGGAGGTCAGGCATACCAGCAAATGGGGACTCTGAAGGTTCTAGAAAGGCAGTAGGGGGCACTTGAGCCACAGGACCAGGCACACCAGGAGTCAGGTCTCCATTTTCCAGTGAGATGGGGATGAGAGGAGGGGGCTTACCTTTTCTTTGTCCACTCGAAGGAAGGATTTCACTGGGGCATAGGTGCTGCAAGCAAACAAAAAAATAACATTTCGATGGCCCCATGGGACCCAGAAATGCCTTTCCTTCCCCATAGGCCTGCACGGTAACAGCCTCACAAGAGGCCTCCCTGCTTCCAGACTGTTCTCCCACAGCACATCACTGTAGTACCTCACTCAGGATCCCTCAATGGCTTCCCATGTCCTTAAGGGTAAAATGAGGATGTTTTAGACAAGCACTGGGGCCTTCCATAATCCAGCCCCAACTTTTCTTCCCACAACTCTCTGCTGTGAACTCTCCACTTGAGTTAGCGGATCATCTCAAACCCATGATGTGTGTGCTCTTACCTGTGCCCACAATGACCCTCTGGCAACTCACATTTGGTATAGAACCTTCCTTCCCCATTAGAGAGCCATGTGCCCATAACCTACATTCCCTTTTCTGAGAATCTGTGGGATTTAAAAAACTCTGTAGCGCTTACTTTAGCTTTTATGTCTCTCGAACATAAGATAAAGTCAGGAAACTGTAACTTATACTGCTGTGTTTAAAAATACATGATGACAACAAGCAAAAGGTAGAAATAACCCACATGTCCATTGGCGAATGAACGAACAAACAAAATGTGGTATATCCATTCAATGGATTCCTATTAAGCCTTTAAAATGAATGATATCCTGATACATGCTATATCGATGGTCCTTGAAAACACCTGCTAAATAAAATAAGCCAGATGTAAAAGGATAAACATCGAATGATTCCACTTATATGAAGTACCTAGCACAGTCAAATCACAGAGACAGAAAGAATAGTGGTTATCAGGGGCTGGAGGCAGGAAGGAATGGGAAGTTATTATTTAATGGCTACAGAGTTTCCATTTGAGATGATGAAAAAGCTCTGGAGATGGTGTTGTTTGCACAACAGTGTGAACAATGCACTTAGTGCTACTGAACTATATGCTTACAGTGGTGAATTTTAACATGTAAGTCTTGCCACACACACAGAAACCACGGTGAGACAGTTGATTAGTAGTTGCCTAGGGTTGGAGATGGGTGTGACGAGAGTGGGGGTGACGGCTAAGGTGCACAGGGGTATCTTTACATCTTTATCTTTCAAGACTGTCATCTGTAGAATATGAAAGTGTTCTAAAATTAAACTGGGGTAATGGTTACACAACTTTGTGAATAGACTAAAAGCCACTGAATTGTTCACTTTATATGTGTGAACTGTATGGTATGTGAATTACATCTCAATAAAACTTAACACCTAGTGAATTGAATTTCCTGAGTTTCCCAGCTCTGACTTGGCAACTTCTCTCCAAGAAAGTGCTCAGAAGATAAGAGTTCCCACAGACAGGAGCCACCTTCTGGAAAGGAGACCACAACCAGATTGTCCTTTTCTCACCTTTCCACCACCAGTATGTTGGCCGTCACATGCAGGAAGTGACACAGAGCACACTCTGGCTTCAGCTACTAGACCATTTGGGGCCCTCCCTACTATTGCCTCCCTCCTCACCAGCCCCCCTTAAAGGACAAAATACTCATTAAAGGAATTCTATGATCCAGTCCCCAGGTAGACTCCTCCCAAGGTGGTCCCGTCACCCCTATTGCACTCCCAGTCAGCAGAGCGACTCACAATCGGATCTGCCCTGTGGACAGGGCACTGGCAATCCACAGCAGGTCTAGGGCCTTGAAGGGCACCAACACGAAGCTGACGTTGGCGGGCAGGTTCTTGGCACTCTCTGGGTACATGAAATGGTGGGTGGTTCGGCTGCCAACATCCTGCTCAAAGCCCACGGTTGGCGCCTGATTCATCCTGCAGGGACAAGAAGGCGACATGAGAAAAAATTGCCGTAGAAACTGTTACAAAGTTTTTAGAGGACGATTTGGTGCTAGCCATCAAAAATATAAACAGGTGCACGCTTTGACCCAGCAATCCCATTTCCAGAAATCCAGCCTATAAAAATGGCTGCATAAATGTGCGAAGACATGTGTACAAGGATGTTCACGCAATATCACTTAGAATAGTGAAAAGTAGAATCGCTCCAACTATAAAGAACTGGTTAATTCATTTTGGCTCATTCAAATAATGGAATACCATGTAGCAATTGGAATGAATGGAGGAGATTTACATGTGCTAGTAAGAAATAAGTCCAAGAGCTATTCAGTGGAAAAACCAAGTGGTGTGAGGTATCCCACTTCTTTCCTGATAATACCTATCTCTTCAATACCTACTGTGTGTAGCAGAAGGCAATTGTAACACCAAAAAAGAAAACTTAAAACTAGATAGGATAATACTATTTTGTGTTGAAAAAAGAAAGAAAGAAAAAATACTTTTGTATATTAATAGAAAAAATCTGGAACAGTATTAAAATTGTTGACGAGTTACTCTTGGGGAATAGGATTGGGGAGGGATAATTCATTTTTTATTGTATTAATTTGTTTGTTTTTGTCCCTTCAATAACACCTCACCTCTGTGAGGAATAGAGCAGGCAGGAGAGAAAGGCTTAACAGGGATGGTGTTTTCCAGCTGCTGGGGTATAGGAGGTAAAGGCAGTGGAAGACTTGTTTGTCAAGTTGGCTGGGGCTTGTGCTGGGCAGGAGCTAGGGTCAAGGTTCACTCTTGTGAAGACCCAAGAAACAAATCTCATCTCACCCCAGATGGAGAGGCCAAGTTGATCCTGCAGATCAAAGGGCTGCAGCCCCAGGCTGGATTCTGCCTTTTCCACTGAATCAGCAGCCAGAGAGTTCACAAAGTCCCTTCTTAGACCTGTCAGCCAGCACCACCCTGCCTCCTGCCCTTCAGTCGGCCCTGCTTCAGAGCCTATACCTCCCTCAGGTTCCCCCAGCTTGCTCGGCAGGCACCAATTTTCAAAAATTGGAGAATGAATGGAGTAAGAGGTCCTAAATGGTATTTCAGAGCCTCCAAGAGAAAGGGAAGGCACATGGCATGCTCTTGGAGACAGGATTTTGCTTTGAGGCTCTGATTCATTCTGGAGAAGCCAAGCCCTGGAAAGAGACAGAACAGGATGGAGAGGATGAGCTGGATCCCTGTATCTCAAGGGCAAAACATTTCAGAATTCTATCTATCTGGCTGCCTCCAGCTGCCAACGAAACACCTGAGGGTAGGGGCACAGGCAGGATAGACATGCATTTGTGCTTAGGGTTTGGTGTCTGGTTGCCTGGTCCCTTTCATTCATTCACATTATTTATGGTGAGCCTATGATCTGCCAGGTACTGCTCCAGGAGTTGTGGATCTATCTGCTGGCCAGATAGGGCAGGAAAAGCTCAGCTCCATTTGGATTTGTCAGCAGGGCTTAGAAGAGATACAGTAGGAGGAGGCAGCTGGGTGTGAGGGCAGGTGGGTAGAGCCATCATCTCCTGTAACTCAGCTGGGCCCTCCCAGGGGTGTCTTACATTGATCCTGCTCCAAGGAAGGGAGGTCTCCACACTGGTTCCAAACCAAGATATGCTTATAAGCAAAGAGTCATTTCCACTGCTGTCTGGCTCCCTCTTGTCAGCAGCCAGCCAATTACCATCTGAGTCACCCCTTCCATTAAGTGATTCTGTGGTCCACTCTAAACCAGCACATCTCCTAGCCTGGTTCCTGTGAGGGAACATCTGTGAAGTCCTTTCTGCAGCCCGGCCTACGCAGGGGCTTCCCAGGTGTCATAACAGCCAAGCCTTTTGGTCTATTGTGCTTCTACCCTGGAGCCTCCCAACCATGACCAAGGTGCAGGCAGCAGAGCAAGGGAGGCAGGGGCTTCAGGCAGTCTAGAGAATCTCCCTGGACTTTCCAAGTGTTCCAGGGCTGCACTGGCGTGATAGACTTTTCATTCCCCAATCTCAGCCACTGTCTCCGGGTGGAGAGGCCCCTCCTCTCCAGCTCCCAGCTTGCTTCCCTTGCACTCTGGGTGCCAGCAAGTAGAGGATGGAGAGAATCTCAGGGGGCCCTGCGTTCCTGGATGGGGCCTACTAGCAACCCCCTCCCTCCCTCACATCCCACCATCCTCAACATAAGAAAGGTTTTGCAAGAAATGTAGAAAGCCTCAGAGACATATTGCTGCCTTGGTGTTGCTATGGAGACAGCAACTGTTTCTAAGACAAAGCCCTTCCTTCTGCCTCCTGGGAAACCTGGTCTTTCTGCAATGCTCAACCTAAGAGATGCTTAGTAAAAACTGGGCATTTCCAGTATCTTTATTTTTAAGGCTCTTCGTCAAGGAGTGAGGCAGCACTTCCTGTGCCAAAGTCTATACACGAAGTCAGAAAACAGGTTCAGAGCAGAAGGAGTAGCTCATGCTCGGGTTACAAGTCGACCCTTAGTCCCTGGTTCCTTGCTCTGTGTCTCCGTATGGACTGAATGTCCTCCCAACTCTTCTGTCCTCAAGGCTGGGCACCAATGTCTGCTGAATGAATGAGTCCCGACGTAATCTAAACCTAACGAAAGATAAGGGAGAGCAGCCCAGAGCCAACACCAGACAGCTACTTTTTCTGCCCAGGACATCCTTCTTCTGTGAGTCTGCCAGAAGGAATCACCTGTGGCTATTAAGGAAGATGCTAGGTTGGTCTGGGGCCCTCACTCCTGGCCCAGCTACTGAGGGGACCAAGCAGATGGAAGGGGCTCCAGTGGGAGTTTTCACCAGCGATCAGCCAGGAATCTAGTTTCAGCTCTTTTTGGAGTAATTCAGAGTTGGACACTGAGTGCAGGCCTCAAGCAAAGTCTAGAATGGAAATTCAGCCTCCCCATCAAGGTGAGAGCCTGTCACAGGAGGTTCTGGGTGTCAGAGACCCATAGCAACTCCAGCAGCAGGCAACTCCTGTACGGCCAGACAAGGCCGAGGAGGCCAGTCCCCTCTCCTGGAGGCTTGTCCTGGGCCTACCCTCGGGCTCACCGTGGCTCACCTCATGACGAAGTTGTGCCCGTCCACATCTGGCCCATAGCCGGAGCCCCGCAGGTTGCCCGAGTTCCCCACCACGGCACAACGCCGGCACTGCTGCGGGTCCCGGAAACGGTAGGGGTTCTCGCCAGGCACGATCTGGAACAGCTTCTCCAGCACCTCGTTGGTGTTGTGTGACTTGAACTGGGGCTGTAACATCTGTAGAGGGAAGGGGAGAAGAGCAGGTGTGAGCAGAGATGGACTCCCGCCTGCCTCTCCTCTCCTGCCCGCACTCTCCAGTGTCCAAGCCACACGAATCCTGACCAAGCTCTGTCAGGGAGCAGGAATAATTCCCTGAGCCCTGACATCCCTTCCATTTCAACGACAGTGAAGTCTCCTTTTGAGCTGCTTTGATGCACTGGATGGGGCTTGGAGTCCATGAGTGACGTTCCAGAGAAGACAGGGGTGAGGTGAAGGGAGTTAAAAGCAGCAGAAAGGTGACTGGACCCAGAATGGGAGACTTCGGCACCCGTCCCCTCATCTCCTCCCCTTCACTTTAATCCCGAGGAGAGGTGACAATGCTTCCTTATCCCAGTCTAGAAGAAAATCTTTTTCTAGAGAATCAAGTGAGTGGTCCTCATGGTGTTTGAAATTATTTAGAGCCAACATTTACAAATTAGGACATTTAGCAAAAAAATCTGGACTTCCAGCTTTTCTCGAAGGGTTAGAAGATCCAGCGGTGATGAACGACACCCGTGCATAGCTGAGAGGCTGCCTCCTCTATAAAAGGCAGAGTCCTTCTCACCCTGCGCCCAACGTCCTCACTTCCCTCCGTCTTCTCCTCGGACTTCTCGCTCGGACCACTTCTCTCTCATCTACGCCCCGTGCCTGGCCCAGCAGGCATTTCTGGTTAATGCTCAGCCGCTACAGGCACTAGACGATATTAATTCTCTCTCCTTCCAGGGCAAACCTCGCTCTGCCCTTTAGAATCTGTGATCCTAACGGATGGCTCTGGTCAAATGGGCCTCTCACATTGTCAAGGTTCTGGGGGCCAGAAGACAGCCCAGATCTACAAGGAGGCTCTTACAGTGACTCTTACTTAAACAGGGGGACAGACCCCTGAGAGGGGCAGCAAGGTTGGGCGGGGGGACCATAGCTCTCTCACCATCCACCACCTCTGGACATCTGGCGGCAGATCCATGTTCTCTCTGGTCCAGACAGGAGAAATCTTGCTGTCAAAGTGGCTGTCAAACCAGTCGGAGGTGCCAGCATCACCCATGCAGCGGCGGCAGGCACAGCTCTTGCCAGCAAGCCCCTCCTTGCTGAGGCGCTGCAGGCCAGCATAGCCCGGCACCAGCTTCACCCGATGGGTGCCCCCCAAGGCTCCCGAGTCCAGGTAGGGCAGGGTGGCCATGCTGTGATGGGAGTAGGTAAAAAGCAGGGACATGATGAACACAAGCAGGAAGGCCACAGAGAGGAACCACACCCGCAGCGAGCACTTCATGGTGCGAAGCACCAGGAGGCTGGACCACCAGCCCGGCAGGCAGCCGGGTGTCACTGTGGCCACTCTTTGCCCAGCCCACTGGTGGGCCAGCCACAGTGCAGACTTCCTATTTCGACACTGGATGCAAAGGGCATAAGGGTGTGTGCTGTAGAAGGGTCAGCAGCAGGAGTCCCAGGTCATACCCTCTTTCAACTGTAAGGAGAAAGCACATTGGCGGGAGTGGCTCCCCTGTCCCTGAGCCACTTGGGCCCCTGCTTATGGCTTCATTGGGTCTCTCCGTCACTAGCTGGGCCACAGATGCTCTGCTTCTCCCGCTGCCCTGGCAAGAGGGAGATCAGTCCATTCCAGCCTTCTAGTCCCTTGGGGTTGCTGATTGCCAGCTCTGGAAGCCCCCCTCTTTGGTGGCTCGAAATGGTCCAGTCTGGAGCAGTCGGGGTCCTTGTGGTTCATGAGCAGACGCTGAGGCAGCCCCTCGTCCCCTGCAGTGGGGAAGCCCTCAAACCCCAATCACAACACAGAGCGTGTTGGCTTCAAGCAGCCTTGATTCCATGCAAGAGGCATCTACTCCTCAGATGGTCCTCCCAGACCAACCCCTCAGCCAGCGGAGAAGAACCGGACCCCAACCCTGAGAGAAGAAACCCAGGAAGCTCTGTGGGTATCAGAAAACTCTTCGTAGAGAACAAAATCCTCCTTGCATTAGGTTCTGCTCTTCTGCTTCCAGTCCGAGGTACAGGTTCCTTCTCCCAGTGGTCACAGCCCCAGCTGCAGTTGTGTAAGGAGTTGCAGGAACAGGAGCTGGGGGTCTGGGCACAGCTGCTGCTCGGCGGGGTGCTCCTTTGAATGCAGTCTGGGTCAGCCGAGCATGTGCCGAGCTCCCTGCCAGGGCCCAGGCCTCCTTCCTGGTGCAGCTGGCCCAGGCTCAGAGGTTGCTCTGCCCATTCCCGGGCCCCTGAGGCCAGCCGGGCAGCCGTCTTGCTGTCAGCTCCTGCTAGCAGTAATCCCCTGGTAGGCTCCCCCTCACTTCTCAGGTGCTGAGCCGTTGCAGCACGACCCTGAAATTGCACAGAGGAAAAATAAGATGTAGATAAACTGTGCATGTGCACACATGTTCTCCCCCAGCTCACCCTCAAGTCCCAGGGGGCAACAAAGCTGGAAGTAGCAGTGATGCCCCTTAATCAAAGGATAGACAAAAGGGAGGGCTCTCACCTCTAACTATCCAGATAGCATGGCTCCAGTAACCTGGGGCCTCAGGGGATGAGAGCAGGCCGCCATCCTTACTGATTAGCCAGAAGGTAAACAAGGACAGTGATTTCTCTAGTCACATGTTAAGCGTCTGAAAGAACCAGGTTTAGAAAATTCCTAGTCCCGGTATGTGATGTTAAACTTAACTGAAAAATAACCCACAGAAGATCTCAGGGCCCTGGGGATAAGATTCCCCATCCCGCTCTCGTGCCCTCTGATGTCTGTGAGAGGCTTCCTCAAGTAAGACGGGGGCTAGGCCTGGGCCCTGAAATATGCCCTCTTCTCTCCTGGATGTGAATTAGAGATGAAGGATTCCTGGGTTAGCTTGGTGAACTATTAACAATCCTTCTAGCTCTGGTGTCAGGAAGAAACCCTGACTATGTCTGGACACAGGAGTGCCAGGCTCGGCACCATCGCCACCCAGCACTCTGGGCTGTTGCCTTCATCTGTAGCTTATGGATGAAATAAATGCCAGGGTCCAGCGGGGCAGGGTGGGGTGGGGGTGGGGGGATGGCGGGGGTGCTGACAGCCTGAGGCCCTGTGCTGCCCTGGTGGGCATGAGCAAAGAGAAGCCAGTTGCCAGTGGCTTGGGGCTGGGCCCTAAGGAAAGGAGCCCGATCCCTGCCATATGCAAAAGAGCCAGGGCAAGGACAAGGCTGAGAGTGGAGCCTCCAGGCCCTGGCCCCATATCACGAGGATTACTTAACCCTGGCTGCCTGTCTCACCAGCTCCTGTCTGAACCTGGCTGGCCCAGTTCTGACCTAGCCCCTGGGCCTCACAGCCCATCACTGAAAGCCCCAGCTCTAGCTAGCCCTTCCGGGGTCCTCCAGCTGCTGTCAGCAGCTGCAGAGAAGGCCTGTCCAGCTCTATGTTCAAGAACTTCAGCTGCCTCTTTGTGGCAGTTCAAATTTCTGGCGCCAAGCCAAACCACAAAGCATCGGGAAACAGAACCGCCACGTTCCAGTAAGGCTGGCATTATTCTGGGGGTGGCAGGGGAGAAGGGGGACAACGTGATGGTAGGTATGGCATTCCCCAATACAAAAAAAGACAGGAAAGAAATGGGTTTGCGTGGGGAAAAAGCAAGAGTCTTGTTTCGGGAGATTAAATTTGAGACACCTTTTAGACACCCATGTGGAAAGGGCAAGAGGAAGTAGGACGCATATGTCTGAGGCTCATGGATGAGGACAGAGCTGGAGGGATATGTTTGAGAGTAGTCAGGATATAGTTTATTTTTAAAACTACGGGACCAGAAGAAATTATCTAGGGAGAGCCTGACATAGATAAGACAAGGTGACCCAGGAGAGAACCTTGGTGCACTCCGATGTCTAGAAGAGGAGAAGCCAATAAAGAGACGAGGAAGGAAATGCCCAGTGAAGCCAGGGTGAAAACCAGCCTGTGTCTGGGAGGCCAAGAGAAAAAAAGAGTTCCAAGAATAAAGGAGAATTCACTGTATCAAATTTTTCTGAAAAAGTTTGCAAGATGTGACTGAGAACAGACCATTAGCTATGGCCAGATGGAGGTCGGCGGTGACCTTCACAATGGCTGACCCAGAGGTATGGTAGGGGTGAAAACCTGACCGAATGAGAAATGGCCAACAAGCAGATGAAAAGATGCTCGACATCATTAGCTATCAGGGAAACACAAATCAAGACCACAGTCAGATGTCGCTTCCCGCCCACCACGATGGCTATAATAATAAAATGTGAGGACGGCTGCCCCGGGAGCCGTGCACATGGCGCTGCGTCCTGCTGTGTCTGACCCCATGGGTCACTGCTCGCCATCACTGAGCCAAGACCATCCAGCAAACAGTGCTCCAGGGCCCAGGGCCCTGGGGCTTCCGCCTCGTGGAGGAAAAGAGTTTCCAGCAGCCTCTCACAGCTCCCTGGTCGCTCCCGAAAGCAAGGCTGCTAGAGCTAATTTATGTATATAGGAGGTGTAATCACAGCCATCGATAGGGAAAACACTAGCAATATGATGCACCTGGAAGCTCAGAACAAAATCAAGTGCCACACTGACAAAATGACTCACAGGAGCCAGATCTGAAATAAAGTCTGGCCTCCTCTGGTGACAGAGGAAGGGAAACGTCCTCCATACAAGATGCATTTGAACCACAAGAGGTCCCGTAAGTTGGAAGCACCCAAGGGCGGAGTGCCAGACCCTTCACTGCCTCGCCTGCTTCCAGCTCTTCCCCCAGGGTCATCACGAACCAGTACGACAACCCCTCTGGCCTCTACCTCTCTGAAAACATCTCCAGTTTCAGCAGCCAGCAGACTGGAGACAAATGGCAGAGCCTTAGAGCATTATTGGCCTCCAAGTGCACTTGTCATAGACAAGGACTCTGAAGTTTATAAGATGCTTCAGGAAAAACAGGAGTTAAATGAGCCCCTCAACGGTCTACTTCCTTCCTGGTTTTGCAGGAAATCCTGGAGTCTGAGGAGAAAGGGGATCCCAACAAGCCCTCAGAAGGGTTAAGGCTCCGGTCACCAAAGTGGCTGCATCTATCGGAAATGCCCAGAAGTCACTCATGCGCGACAAATGTGGCAGTGGCATTGTCAGTGTGTTTGTGAAGCTGCAGGACCATCACCACACTGACTGTGGAACAAACATGACACAGAAGGGCCATTTCTTTGTGGAAGATCCAATCTGCTGTGAAAGGCATGCCTGAGAGCAGGTCACACCACCTGAAGGCTACGACGCGGTCACTCTGTTCCCCAAGTGAACCAGCAGATCTGCACCAAACACTGTTCTCCAACTAGTCCCTGTGGCAACTTGTTCCCTAAATGCCCTGACCCTCTCCTCTTTTGGAAGTTCTTGCTTAGTTTGCTCATTAAACGTTATGCTTTTGCTAACTGATTCACTGCCGTGAGACGCCTCCTTGTATAATGAACGAAAGACTGTTTTGTTTGGTGTCCCAATGCCAGTATTACTGTGCCTTCTCTTCACCTCGGTTCATCTCTGCTGCAAATGGACATCAGCCACATTTGAACCAAACTGAATTTAATGTCTGATGCTGAGTTCGTTTTTACTCAATAAATTTATAGACTCTAAAAAGAAAGTGAGGAACCCTCACACAGTGCTGGTGGAATTATAAAATGGTGCAGGCACTTTGGAAAATAGTCTGGCAGTTCCTCAAAAGGTTAGAATCGCCATATGACTCAACAATTCTACTCCTAGGTATACACCAAAGAGAAAAGAAAACACGTGTCCACACAAAAATTTGCACACAAGCAGCATTATTCATTTTAGCTCCAAGGTGGAAACAACTCAAAGTTCCATCAACTGATGAACCAACAACATGTGGTACATCCACACGATGGAATCTTACTAGGAATGAAGTACTGACATGTGCTACGACATGAATGAACCTTGAAAACATTGTGCTACGTGAAAGAAGCCAGTCACAAAAGACTACATATGATAGGATTCCACATATATGAAATGTCCAGAAGAAGCAAATCCATAAAGCAGATGGGTGGTTGCCTAGGGCTGTAGGTGCGGGGGAGAGGGGGCATGATTGCTAATAGGAAGGGAGTTTCCTTCTGGGGTGATGAAATGTTCTAAAATTGTTTGTGGTGATGGTTGCACAACCATGTAAATAGACTAAAAACCACTGCGTTGTAGACTTGAAATGGGTGAACTGTATGATATGTGAATTGTATTTCAATAAAGGTGTTACCAAAGAAAATGGGAGAGATAAAGTGGCATGGGGGTTAAGCTGGGAGATATTCCAGAATGTTTACATACTAGTGGGAATGATTTAGTAGAGGGAAAATTAATGCTGCAGGAAAAAGAAAGGATAATTGAGAAGTCACGTCTTTGAGCAGCAAGAAGGGCCGGGAGTCAGTGCCTACCCAAGGAGGGTCTACCTGTGAAACAGGAAGCAGACCACAGCCCTGGGCACAGACACGGGGAGTGATGCATTCGGTGGTAGGAAAATGAGGAGGATCTTTTTATTACTGAAGTTGGAAATTTACAGAGATCTGATGTGAAACAGTTCTCAGAGAGAAGGGGAGTTCCCAGGGAAATTTAGTGGGTGGCAAGCCAATGGAATGGTCTTCCAAGAGGTCTGTAGTCACAGATTAAGCAAATCTGGTGAGACTGTTTAACAATAAACATCCCCCGGATGGCTGAGAGAGTTTGAAATACTGAGACTAAACAGAGGAACTGGCAACCAGCATCCATGTTAGGGGCAGCGAGGGCATGGAAGAATGGACGATTTCCCTCCGGTGAGACCCTTCTGCCAATCAGGGGGTGAACGGCTGAACAGATACAGGGAACCAAAGATGGACGACGAAGATGGCCCTTGCCAACTCGCAGGTGAAGGAGAGCAGAAGCAGCCACATGGGATTGAGCAGCAAAAGCTGCCCCCAAAGAACAGCAGGGACTGGGTTTTGGAGGCTGAGGCAGTTTTTAGAGCCATTCTCGGGTCAGTTCCCAGGAGACAAGCCATCAAATTAACCTAATAGCACAGCCTCAGACCAGCGCAGCTGAACACAATCTTCTTGGCAGGCAGAGAAAAGAAATGTCAAAATAAGGCGCAGAGGATAGGGGGAGGAGGGCTGTTTGAATCTAGAAGGGATGAGGAGAAGGAAAAAGAACCCAGCCTAAGATGCTGATAAAGCACCCTCTTTCCACCCACTGACATACAGCCCGAGGACGTGTCCCAGAGCCACAATGTAAAGGCATCAAACCACATATTACTCACACTGCATGATGCTCTGAGTTTCTGAGTATTTTCGGGCAGAGCCGCTCATTTGGTATTCACAGAAGTCCCAAGACTAACTGAAGTAGGTCAGCCAGGCGGTGAGTGACAGAGCTTTAATGCCAACTCCAAGTCTGATGGCCCCAAAGCCAGTGCTTCTTCCACAAGCACCCACTGCCCTCCACAGCGGCTTTTCCCACTAACTGGGGCACAACCATAGAAGGGTTCCCTGTGCCCCAGATCCCTGCCAACCTAGCAACTCCAGCAAACTCCCTGCACCCTGAGTGTGGCAACAGAAGGCAGAAAGTGGTGGGGCAGGGCAGGGGGTGCAGTGGGGGACGGGGAGTGTCAGTCATTATCTTGAGGAAGAAACCAGACAGCCCCTCCCTTACACGTGTCTCAAACCCAGTGAGGCATGTCCTTGAGAACTGGTGGCTTCGCCTCCACATGCTTGGCTAACTGAAGGCATTGCATTGCAACATCCTGGCACCAGCCTCTACCGCAGACCCTCACAGGGCCTCCCTGCTCCCCAGTTACACCCCCTCGGGGAGCCTCTGCCTTTAGAGCCCCCGTCTTCCTGCAAGGGAACTCACCTTGACTTGGTATCCTGTCTGAGATTTCGGCTCTGGTACTTCTGATGCTGCTCGAAGTCAGCAGCCAGGAAAACAGAAAGCAAGAGCTAAAAAGGTCTTCAAACCTATGATTGTCATTCTGGCTAACTTTTAACTAAGTTAGTCAGAGAGAGAAACCATCAGTCTTCATTGCGAGGATCCGTGCTGCACTGTGAGAAAGAGGCTGTTCAGGGAGGAATGCTGGGCTCTGGGGCATGGGGAGAGGTGGCGCCAGGGGAGAAGTGAGAGGTAGGGTCCCCGCTCTGCTCCACACCTGTCCCCTCAAGGAGACCCAGTGTGGTCTGTTTGTGTCTCAGGGAAGGGGGGAGGGGAAGTCCAGGAATGTGTTATACATACCTACACTAGGGCAGGAAGTCTTAGAAAAACAGTTATCTCAATAACTAGGCAGATAAGGCCAGACAGAAATGGTTGAGGAGAGACAGGGAAAGATCGGGAAAGATCTCGCAAGGAACAGAAAGTCATTTAAAGAGCAGAACCACCTGAGGCAAAGGCGATTCCTGTGCTGTCCCTGTGTCCAGCCGACCAGGTCTCTCCAGGCCCCAGACCACTGTCAGTCACTCTTTATCGAATATGATAGTTTTTCTTTTTAACACATTACATTTATCATGTATTTGGATTTATGTTACTATCATAAGTTGCGTTTTCTCTTCACTAATTTATTATTATTTTTTTCCTGACTTCAGTTGGACTGACACACTATCCCCACTCCTGCCACTTTTTTCCCCTCCCGTCTTGGAAATTATATTCTTCTTTTAGTGGTTATCTTAAATTGTTAGCATATATACATTTTTCTAATAGTCTACAGTTTTTAGCAGTGCTATTTTCTTGAACAAGGCAGAAACTTGGTGTGACTTAACAAAATTCCCTACTTTATTCTACCTTATTTTTCCTTAATAATGTGGTCAATAATTTTACTTTTCCTTTTTTATAAATTAAAAAACGAATTAGACACTGGAATTTTGTTCGTGTGTTTTGCCATCTGTGGCAGACGCTGTTGGTTGCCTACCGGCAGCCACTTTCTCTTCTTTCCTGCCAAGAGAATCCTGATTTTGTTCAGGTGGCAAAGGACCCAGTTCCAGGAGATGAAGCAAGCCTGTTATATCCACACAGTAAGCCTGTTCCTTTTTACCAGGAATTACTCTAAGGATGGACCAGCCGGGGCCAGTGAGACATAAGATGTCTGCTGGGGGCTTCATGGAAAGAGTCTCTTTCTTTCCAGAAAAAAAGGCACATTAGAAAGCTTCCTTTCTCCTAACATTTCCCTGCTTCCTGATTGGGATACTATATGGTGATGACATGATGTCTGGAGCTGCAGCAGCATCTCATAACCATGAGGAGGGAGTACACCCTGAGGATGGCAGAACAGAATGATGGAATGAGACAGAGTCCTTCAAGTCAATACTGGACCACTGTCACAGCCCTGGAACTCCATACCTCCCCACTTATTATAAGCTAATTTAATATTTTTTAGTTTAAGTCACTGTAGATTATTCTTTGTAGCAGAAAGCATCCTGATATACTATCTATAGTTAATTAAATTTGCCAACATAATGTGTCAATTTCTGTGCTCAGTGTTGGTGCTAGCAACCTGCTCCTTCTCCAGAGCTGACTTTTCTTCTTTCTGAAGTATACTTTTAGTAGATCTTTTAGTAAGGGTCTGTGAGTGATAAAGCTATCTTAATATGTCCGGAAATATCTTTTATTTTACCTCCTTCTTGAATGATAGCTGGATATTGGATTCTAGCTTCTCTAAGATACTCCTCTATGATATTTTGGCATCTAATATTGATGAGATGTTGCCTGTCAATCTAATTGTCAGCCATTTGAATTCCTTTTTCTCTAGTTTTTAATATTTTCTCTTTCTTATCCACAGTTTCACTATATTATGTCTAGGTATCTATTCTGTTTGGTATTCATGCTGTTTCTTCAATTCTGGAATTCTCAGCCATTATCTCTTCAAATACTATTTCTCTGCTATTTTCTTAACTTGTACCTGAAATTCTTACTAGACACAAGCTAAAACTTGTCAGTCTGTCCTCTGCGTCTGTGCTGCATTCTAGACAAAACTCTCAGTATTAGCTTCCAATTCATGAATTCTGTGTCTAGGCTAGAGTTCTGTCTCTTGCGTCAAATTCTAATGACACTATTTTTTACTGCTAGAATTTATTTAACATTTTAATTTTTAGATACTCTTGTTTCTTCCCCCGGCCATAACTTCCCTTTCTTTTCTTTAATGGATTTCATGTTTCTTTATCTCTTTGAGGGCCCTGAACCTATTCATGAAAGACTTTTCTGATTACTCTGTTATTTTCACTTCTTCTGAAGTAAATTTTTCTTTGATTTTGTTCTTTTTTTTTTTTCCTTGCAGTAGTTTTCCTCATGTGTTTCTGAACTTCAGTGGATAAACTAATCTTACCTCCTATTTTACTTTCCATCCTCATCTAGGGGTTTTCATCTTTGCCTCCCCAGGTCCTCCTTTGGGGCTTCCGGTCTAAAATCGAATCTTGTAGCTGCAGCTCAGCCTGGGTCCAGGCTGTGAGATTCTGTCTCCGAATAGAAGCATCCTTACAAACCACAAACCCCAAGGAAGGGTTGGAAGGAAGTTTTTCCAGCCTACTTTCCCAGCACCTGGGTTCAAGCAGTGTACGAGCTCTAATTCCGTGCGTCATGTGGAGCACTTTATAGCTTTGTTACCCCAGAATTCCAGCTGCCTGCCTCCTTCCAGACTCAGAGACCAGCAGACCTGCAGCTTCGGCCCTGTTCTCTTGTTTTTATCCCCGTTCTCATCACAGGGATGTTTTATCATTTTGTGTGGGAGGAGGGAGAGGGAGCGCATGACTGTTTTTAGAGTGTAATCTTTTTATGTATTACTGCTATGTGTTTAGAGTATAAATTTACGGTGCCATCTTGACTGGATGAGTTGGATTAAACTATTTGTACTGGGGAACTAGGGATCCCTGCCAGCACTGTCTCCTGGGACGGCATATCAAACCAACTCTAATGAGATTCACAGAACTCCAGCCAGCACACTGAAGGAAGCAGACTGACATAGCCTGGGGTAAGCTGATCAAAAGTCCCAATTAAAACTGTTCTCCTCTCTCTTCATTCCAGTTCCACAGTTGGGTGGAGGCAGCGTGGGCAGACACGCAAACAGGATCTTTCAGATGTGGTCTGACCAGACCTTGACTGGGGAAGGCCACTCCAGCCGTCACCTGACCATTTTAGCCTTTTACTGGGCCAGGGGAAAATGCACACTGCCCACACGGACACCCCTGATGGATGACCCATCTGACTCTCTTCAAGTCCCCAGCCTGCCTGCAGCAGGCCCAGCCTTTAGTTTCAATTATATCAGAAGAGCAGTGGATTCAGGAGCCATATTCTAGTCCAGGCTGTCACCAGGCAGCCAGCCACTTTTCTTCCTAGGCAAGATTCTTTAACAATTAGAAGGAGGCGGTCCTCCTTCTACCCTCTTCCTCTCTGATCATCTCCTGTTTCCTCCTGCTGACCACCACTCTGACTTCGGAGTCTCTAAAATCTACTTTCTTGACTCAGACCTCCCTCGTTTCTTTGAGCTGCTAAGGCATCCTGAAGGTTCTGCCCTCAGCCCTTTTTGCTTCTTTGCCTCTCTGCTGTGCACCATCACCTTCCACGTCTAAGAGCCTGCCCTTCTACCCTGGGTTTCAGACCCACATTCTCAACTGCCTCTTTAGCTTGTTCTAATGGCACTTTAGACTTAATAAACTCATCACCTTCCTGCTTATGAGATGAAGTGCCTTTATTCATGGGGCCAAGGTTGGGCTCCTTAACATAGATCCAGAGACCCCCAAACCAGGCCACCCTCCTAAGCCTCATCTCTCACCCTATCCTATCCTCTAGAGGTTATGAACTAGTTTGGACCATAGGCCAAATTGGGCCCGTATTGATTAAGAGCCTACGAAGAACCGAAAAAGACATGTACGTGTCTATTTCCTTCACTTAAAATATAAACTCTAAGTGTACAGAGACCATGTTATAATTCATCATTTCTGTCTCACCATTGTAGGACCTACCACTGACCTGCATATGGCAAGCATCAGAAAAATATTTGTTCAACTGAGTATCATCTCTACATATAATCCCAGAGTTATAAGAATCAGAAGAAATAATGGTAATGAAAAAATGCTTTGAAGCCATTTTTATAAAATACTATGTAAGTATGCAGATGAAAGTGATCATTACATTTTGCCCCCACTCTTCCAGCTCTAATGTTCTAGAAGCGAAAACTTTCTCTACCTTCTCATGGGCCACCATGGAACATGAAGCCTCAAGTACAAACCAGATTTCACAAATTGCAGGCAATGAGAAAGGTGTGTGTATAAAAGTGAAAGAAGCTGCCTGGACCATGGGAATGGTCAAAGTGTCTTGCTCTCAATTTTCCATTGGCAGAGACACACCAGGGCTGCTAAAATGGTACTCTCTCTGCTCACTCCCCAAAACACCACGGGCTACTTACTGGCTGCAGTCCTTCCCAACTAGAGCTTGTCAGATCTCACATCTGTTCACCCCAACTCAAAGGCCCTTTCCAGTCAAGCCTCCCAGAGAACGAAAGTACCTAGAAACCCCTGGATTCACATCTGGCACTGCCACTTGCCAGCTATTAGCCATTCAGCCTCTTTCACCTGTTGTTTTCACTTGTAAAATGGGAATATCATCCATCTCGGAGGGTGTCTGTGAGGATAGGCGGCAAAAAGCTCCCAGCTTGGTGCCTGTGCTCCAGAGCTGGGCAGGTTAAGCGCCACAGTTCTGAGCCCCAGCCTCGGCTTGGGCAACTCTCCTGGCCTGCAGTCCCACGACCCTGGATAAGCATCACGGGCTCCTCAGCACTCCCAGCCCCACTCCCAGGCCAGCACCGGCAGGGCTGTGCTTCACGGCCTCCTTTCCTGGCTAGCCAGGGGCACTGCCTGCCCCCTCCTCCCAGTGGCAGGCAGCAGCTTCCAGGGAGGCTGGGTGGGCAGCACGGACCTGAGGTTTCAGAGTCAGCTCTGTCCCAGTTGACCCCCAGACTGTGCAGAAAGGAGCACTATGTCCATCTTGTAGCAGAGCTTGTGGGTCATGGAGCCTGTCACCTCCTCCCCGGCTGCCACTTCATCAGACCACACAGAACAGAGGCCTGCCTTGAGCTGCTTCCAAATAGCTCACCAAGTTCCATCCCACAGTGGCTCTTTAGCCACAGTTTGGCAGCGAGACTCTAGAAAAGACAAATAATGGGTTTCTCCGCAGGGCTGAAAGCCTCAGACATTAAGAGAAGCTGGGGACAGGTGAAAGAACCTGAAGGTAGGAGACTGAAAAAGAAATCTAAATTTCTTCAGGGATTTTTAGCGTAAGCAGGGAGTAGGATGAATGAATGGTGGCCCAAGGTAAGCTAGAGGGGAGTTTGGAGAGCTGCTGGTTTAGACCTTATTATTGCCCAACTCTGCCTCCCAGGGGCGATTAAACTTGACCACAACGCCTCCCAGGGTCAGGGGCACCGGCATAGGGAGTTCAGAGTCTGCAGATTTCCTTTAAAGATAAGGTTAGAGCACCAGGGTGGCTTGGCTGTTCTTCACCCTTTATGATGCAGATCTCAGTCACCCCGCAGAGGTATAAGGAAGAGCACAGGGAAGCCACCCGGCCCTCCTTTTCCTTCTGCCCTTGTCTGCACGTCTGTGCTGTTTTGAATCTCAAGAGAAAAGCAGAGGATGCGTTCATTCAACAAATATTTATTGCCACCAGGGAGTGGCAGACAGCATGGGGAGAGCCCCAGCCCTCTCCCTCTTTGTATAGCTGCATCACTGTCCCTTAGCATAGCTCTCCTTCCGAGGACCCTGTGGCTCCTGCCCTGCCAAGGAGCACAGCAATGGGGCTCCTGTTTTGAGGGCTCGTCCTAGTCCCGCCAGCCTGCCGCCCAGGGCTCTCCTAGGAGGGCTGTCCTTCCAAGGGTATGCCAGGGGGCAGCTGACCTCAGAGACTGGCATCCCAGGTCTCAATTGTAGGTCTTGTCCTCTAAAGAGATGAGAGCTGGTGACGTGATTCCACAGTCTACCCCAGAGGCCGTCACAGGGGCATAAGCAGCCAGAGCACTGGTGAAGGGCAGTGTTTTCCCTTGGGGAAAAGGACTATGCTCCCTGTCAAACTTGTTCTCCTCAGAAACATGGGTTAATCCAGTCCTCCTCAATGCTGGCTCCCCCAAACACAAGTGCCCCCTCTTCCCTGGGGTGGAAGGACCAGGTGGATCTAAGAGGAGGTTTAGAAGAGAGTCTCATTGCACTCCACCCCCCTCACCGGAAGGGGCAGAGGGAAGAGGAGCGATGGTTTCCCCAGGTACCCTTCAGCCCTCTCATCCTCACATGTGCACCTACACGGCAAGGAATCGACCAGTGAAGACATGGCCCATCACACCCAGGTGGCTCCCTGGAACACTCCCGGGCCAGGGCATGGGGACCGAGAAGGAAGCTCCAGGGGCTGGGGGCAAGGAGCAAATGCTCTAAGCAGCTGTGACTCACACAAAATGGCAGAGGGGCATGGCTTTCCCTGCCTAACTCCCAGCCAGCCCTCTTTCTCCCAATTCCTGAATCTGATCACTCTCACCCTTACCTGGGGAACAGGAACAGGATAGGTGCTGCTGCTGGTGCTTTTCCACCACTGCCCTCTCCTGCCCCTCCCCCAGCCTGGACCATGGCAAGGGGCTCCGGACTGGGTTCTCAGCTCCCTCCACCTGTATGCACTGGAAGGCTGGCCACCCTGAGGAAGGCTCAGGCATGCTAGACCCCCTCAGGGACTGATGGAGGAGAACTGAGCGAGGGAACATACAAGTCTTGCGAAAGCACACCTAGGGAAGGGAGAAGCTATGTTTCTAGAAGCTTCCAGGCCACAGCCTCTGTGGCTCAAAACTCTAGTCAGGCCTTGGCCCAGGTCCAGAATGAAAGGACTCAACTTAAAACTCTAGCATCTATCGCCACTTCCTCTGTGAGATGGGAGGATAAGGGAGAGGATGCCAGGGGAGAGGTCATGCCCCAACTGACAGTACTTGCATATTCAGGAAAGGGGCCCAAGAAGCAGGGTGACTGACAGCTTCACTGCAGAAATGGGGTCTGTGCAGTCATTGCATATGCACAACCCAACAACAAAGCAGACAGCAGACCCCAGTCCTTCCTGGGTGGCACACTGGGATGGGCTTGGCCCAAAGCTCCAACACACAGGACAGGCGAGAGCCCTGGGAATGCTGATGGAGCTTCTGCCCCTTCCTTGGAGTGCGGCATCCCGGTTCGGGGATTCTTCCCTCTCTCAGCCCAGGGGCTGGAGGCAGGAGCAGCAGGCTCACTCAGCGAGGGCCCGTGTCTCACCGGAGGGTGCAGGTGAGAACACAGCTCTGTGTCATCGGCCCCTGTAATGCGCTGGTATGACCTCTGACTGTTAACTTTCCAGATTTCATGGCCCAACCAAGCCACCCAAGTGGAATGTCTGCCAAACGCCATGAGGGCGACAGCCTGGGCTGTAGGCATGGAGGCTGACTTTGCATGGGGCAAATTTCTCTAAAGGGCTCCAACCTTAGCAGGGTGGGGACAGTAGGCTGACGACCACCTCCCTTTTTCTATCCAGGCTGCCCCCACATTTCCTTGTGAAGTAGTGGTTCGATTTTTTTGTGGTTTCATCTGAACATTTGGTATGAAATGGGAGCGTTGCGTGCGCTGGTAGACAGTGGCTTGGAGTGTGGAGACCCATATGGCTCTTGGGCACCACTCACATGACCGGCAAGAAGCAGAGGTGGGCTGTAGGCCGGAAACTTTGTGGTCAGGCTCTTATCTACTTCCTTAAGACTAAATGACTTTAAAGTGTTCTTTTTG